AGCTGCCAGGCCATAGTCCACCCAGTATGCTAGGGCAATCCCGAACTGCAGATATTAGCTGATAATGTCTTGCAAGGTGTCATAAATGCAAGCTGACATACCAGGTTAATGTTGAGTTGCCACATGACGGCTCGACCTCTGTTCTCAGAACGAGAGCACTCGCCATTCCAGGTGGGCAAAATAGCAGCTGCCATACCATTCCCAAACCCGGCTGAAGGCAGAATGCGTCAGTATTCCTCGATGATAGGCACTCGGAAGCCAATTGGAACATACCAACAATACGGCCTACTATCAATTGGGCCAGATCAAAAGAGGAAGCCTGAAGGATGGCACCGAAGATGATAATTAGCTCTCCCACCATGACGGTCAGCCTTCGGCCGAACTTGTCACCACTGATTATGACAGTCAAAGCACCGGCTGCACATCCTAGTTCATAGACCGCCACCTGTTAATGTTAAAAGCACGTCCCATGTAGGTAATCTCTCTGAAGAGCCAAGCGCCATCTTCACGTACCGCAAAACCTTGGAGGGTAGAGTTGCCATTCGAGATCGAAGGGAATGTTGCTTCGAATGATGGGCCCGTGAGAAGACTGCCCATGACACCTTGATCATAGCCGAACAACATGTTCCTACATGGCGCAGAGGCGTGCGTTAGACTCCGTCTCGCGTGTAAGGCTAGGGGTCATACTCACCCAATGCCACATGTAGCTGTAATCAGGTACTCGATCCATGCCGATTTAGCCCCTCGGCCTCTTAGCCGCTCGGTGAGGAACGCATAGGGAGTTGTGAATGGTTTCATTCTGATATTCGTCTCGCAGCTTACTTGGCAATCAGTTTCAATGAGAAATCGAATCTCGCTTGCAGGTGGGTTGAAGAGAAATGTATTTCGCCAAGAACTCCATGAAGCTAAGCACTGGTTTTGTTTCTGCTGGATCGGCGATAAACAGCTTGGAGGGTTGGGGTATCTCCGGATTCCCCGCATTGTGGGGGGTCGCCCTGATCATCGCTGCTGAAATTTGAGGCTTGCTAAAAGCTATGTTTGACATCGTCTCGGGACCGCCCCAGACTTCGCCAATTGGTTCGAAACCTTAAAACTTGTCCTTGAGCCACACGGATAGCCGGAATCTTAAGCTTCCCGCTGCATTCGACTGCGTCTGACTCCGGCAAGTTGACGTTACTGGCAAAGCGAAGGCGATGAAGTCTCCACATGATTTTTAACCTTCCCAATTCTGGTGTTCCCTATGTGTCATTGAGGGCTTTATCCCACCGGTCGGCAATCCACCCGATAGCTCTCGATGCGAGCCCCTTGCCCCTCGCAAGCTAACCGGGGCCACATGAGCATCCGTTCACCGGCTCATTTCATCATCATAAATCCTGTACACCACTTGTGTGGACCCTGAACTAGCATGACTATGCTGATTACCATCTCCATATGATAGCTCCAAAGGCCGGAGTAGCTATGGTACATCCACCGACGGGGGAAAGACTCGAGTTTTCTCTCCAGATTCTGGGGTTAACGGCAGTCCCACATCGCGGCAGCGCAACAGACCCGCAAAACCAAACTTACCCGGATCAAAGACCATGGTCTCGTGTTTACTCGTGTTTATGTGTTCCCCGTCTTATTCATATGCAATTCACAGCATTCCAGTTATTTTATATTGCTTCTTGGTACCATTACAATCAAGGCCATTTTCTGTAAAGGACCTCTAAGTGGATCAGAGTTAAGCATCGTCCCGAGCTAACCATGCAGCCACCGACTGGGTTTCATACGATAGCTGCACATTCCAATTTATGATATCCACGCTCACATGAACTTGGGTTGCAGAAAGAAACACTAAGTGTAATTTGCTCGTCGATAGATGGCTTCGTGACGAGAATTAGTCCACCCCTGTCTCATCACCATGATTCCTATTGATCGCACATGAGACTATATATATAGCGGTGCCTGCCGTTCGAGCTAATTACAGCATGATCTTACATGCGAGAGAATATGTATACAGGTATTACTACCACTTAGGAATCTCCCTTCCAGGACGATGTCTTCCAATACGTTCACTTGTTCGAAACTGGATTCCTCTTAGGTAGCCAATGCCCGTTACGGTCAACTGCTATCCACCTCCACAAGCACTGCACTACAACAGCTTTGTGAATGGTGCCAATGGCGCAAAGAAGAGGTCCCGCAGTTGGACTCGATGCGAAACCCTTCGACCTAATTGCTCATTGCTGTCTGGGCTGTGGGGAACCCCAAGGGGCGCGGAGAAAGATTGTGGAGGTGGATACGGTCATGCTTAATCCGGGGCATGACAGGTGGCCTGATGGCCGCAGGTTTGTTCGACTCCGACATACTTGGGCATACTCAAAGTAGTTAGCTAGCTTTGCATATCCCGGGTAGATGGTGGGACATAAACCTGACAAGCCCACTATCTCAGCCCTTGACGCCTTTCTCTTCGACTACAGTCCTCGCTGTACTTACAAGCCATCATGGACACAGTCGACATTCACGAGGGACAGCTTAAGGATGCCTCATCGCACGAGATCGAAGATGTAGATGCGACCGATGCGATTTCCTTCACGCCGGAGGAGGAGAAAGCGCTGGTGAGGAAGATTGACATGACCCTTCTACCTACCGTCTGGGTCATGTATCTCCTATCCTACCTGGACCGGACCAAGTAAGTGTGACTATGTGCTCATCTGGAATTGACCAGTTTCAGGGGCTAATGGTTTTCTCTGTGCAGTATCGGCAATGCCAAAATATCCGGGATGCAGGTAGACCTCAATCTGACCTCAAACGAATATTCCATTGCTCTAGTTGTCTTCTTTGTCGGATATGTGGTGTTCGAAGTTCCTAGCAAGTATGGCTTCTCTACGTACGTGTATTAGTCTGAAACTATAATAACCAAGCGTTGTTTACGAACAGTTTGGCGTTGGGTCGGTCACGTCCATCCATCTTCCTCTCTACTATCATGATTCTCTGGGGCGCATTGACCTGTGTCATGGCTGTTGTCAAGGACTTCTCGCATCTAGTAGTCCTGAGAGTCATCATTGGGTGCATTGAGTCTGGCTTTGCTCCCGGAGTCTTACTGGTGTTGTCATCATGGTACAAGCAGACCGAGCAGTCCAAGAGATTCGGCGTGTTCATCTCGGCGGCCGTTCTATCAGGTGCCTTTGGTGGACTCATTGCGGCCGGCATTGTCGATGGCCTTGAAGGTGTGCATGGAATTAGAGGCTGGCGATGGCTTTTCATCATTGAAGGTGTTATCACCGTTGGTTGTGCGCTCGTATCTCTTTTCGTCCTGCCTGACTTTCCTGCTACAACGCGACGACTGTCCGATCGCGAGCGGCAGATAGCTGTGGCCCGACTGGCCAGGGAGAATGTCACGGCAACCACCGAAGATACCGAGCATTTGAGTAGCCTGGGGGCGTGTAGAGTAGCCTGCAAAGACTTCCGCACCTGGGCCTTTGTGATTGGATATATGGTTCGTTTATTCTTTTGTCTGTCTTACATCTTCCAGATTACCTCCGCGATAAACCAGATTCTCTTACTAAATTTGTCTCTCGAGATTTAGGTCATCGTTGGGTCAAGCACCCTAACATACTTCTATCCTACCCTAGTCAAAGGGCTCTTCGGCGACGCGTCCACCGAGAAAGTCAACTTCCTGACCGTCCCGATCTACGGCGTGGCCTTCGTCGCCACAGGTATCACGTCCTACTGCGGTGACAAGTTCCCCACCTGGCGTGGGTTAATCATTGCTGGCTGGCTGGCATTTTCCCTGATCTGTTCGGTCATTGTCTGTGCCGTGTACAATTTCACTGCTCGATATGTACTCCTGGTTCTTATGGCCGCTGGGCTTTGGTCCACCAATGGCGGTACACTGGCGTATGCCTCCTCTGCCTTTGCTGGAATGCATCCGCAGGCAAGAGGCGTTGCTTTGGCGATGGTAAATGCGCTGGGAAATTTAGCACAGATTTACGGATCGGTATGAGTCTAACCCCAATGTTGGTGTTACCTAGTGGTAGGACTAATTGAGATGTAACAGTATCTTTTCCCTGACAAGGACAGCCCAAAATACATCATGGGGTTCTCTGTGATTTCTGCCATGCTGGCAGTGGGCGTGGTTGTCTTTTTGGTCTTGCACATCTGGTTCCGTCGCCGTCTACGGTCGGGGAACGTCCAGTGATGGTGGCGTGAGTGCGGGCGGTTTATGGACGGCAAAATTACAATCCATGCTTGTTGTGAAGTTATCGCACCACTATCTAAGGCGAACGCTTCTCACACAGTGTTCAATTATATGTAGAAGTCAATCTGCCGACTCATTGAAAGATAACTGTCTCCAATTATAGTAGTTTTCCGTAGACAGGCTCATAATACGACAGTGAGCATGTCTCATCATGCTAAACACACACTATTTGTGTTGCGGAACTGATGTGGAGTATGCTGTGAAACATAAGGTTACAAACCTTTGGCCAATAAGGCATAGAATATATACAACCGTGAATTGAGACAACGATCGTGAGCATGATGTTGTCATCAATGCATATACATTGGTCTCTAGCCACAGGCCTAGGTGGAAACTGGAGAGAGCGTCGATAGTGTGGCCAAGGACAAAACTGCAACAAGCGAGATACCGTGTGGAGATCCGAGATGCGCCCCGACCACCGCTGATCCGGGGTGGCCTCGAAGCGAGGCACTGAAAGACCCACCGGCCCATTGGATACCTATTAGATGCAGATCGCAAATTGACTTGGACTCGCTTCGGCAACCAACGACCATCGCAATTGTGTCCCATTGGCCACATTCTTCCCCGGAGAACTGAGGCATTGGCCAACCCGTGGCAGTACGAGCATGTCCCCAGAGAGCCATGCGACGCCTGTCTATCGAGCAGTGCTATCTTTATGGACCACAAAGCAAAGTTGGAGAAACTTAAAATAGGCAAGTCGCCCCCTGCAAGAGGCAGCCAACCTTCGAATAAAAATTAACATCACCTAAACACATCTTCCACTATGCCTCCAAGTATGCTTGACACCCCAGCGACCAGCGCCAACGGCAACGCGACCGCATCCAACACGTCACCAGCCTTTCTTGACACCACCCCAGGCCCAGACTATGACTGGAAAGTGTCTTTGAAGGGAAAAGTAATTGGCATCACCGGAGGCAACAGGGGTATCGGGCTGGCTCTCGCACAAGTATGTCTCGTCAACGACGCAGAGGCTATCTATAGCTTAGACATCTTCGAGCCCGGCGAGGAATTTGCTGCCCTTCAAAAAGCTCATCCCAAGCGACTTCACTACGTCCACTGTGATGTGACATCCGAGGAGAGCGTCAACACTGCCATCGACGCTGTCATCGCCGCACAAGGTGCGATCCACGGCTTTATAGCCAATGCCGGCATGACAAAGCACCAGCCTGCTTTCGACTTCAGTCGCGCCCAGATCGATCAATTGTTCAACTTGAACGTCTTCGGCGCTTACTTCTGCGCTACTACAGTCGCTCGTCGTTTCATCGACCTCGGAATCAAGGGGTCTATTGTCTTCACGGCTTCGATGACTTCCTATCGCCCCAACCGTGCAGCTCCTTCCGCTCCCTATGGAGCCACCAAGGGTGCTGTGCGAAACATGACACACACACTGGCCATGGAGTGGGCCAAGCATGGGATTCGCGTCAACTCGGTATCACCAGGGTTCATCAAGACGGCCATGACTTACTTTGTGGATCAAGCACCGGACTGGGATCTCAAGATGCAGTATTATGGCGGTATGCCTAGGTTGGCGGATCCCAAGGAGCTGGGCGGAGCTTATGTATATTTGCTTTCTGACGGTGCGTCGTATACGACAGGCATTGATATTCCCGTGGCAGGAATTGTGGGGGCATGGTAGAAAGTAGACTTAGAGACACAATCTCCAAAAACATATTCCATGCATTATGCGATCGTTGTACCTTATAACATTTGTGATTGAAATAACCAAGAGATTTAGTGTAGTCATTGAACTTCTGTCATAAGATACATGTTCTGGCATGGGCTCTGTGAAATACATCATATTATATACATACATCTTCAATCCCTGGTCGGGACTTCACTCCTGCCATACCCTCTGCAGTCGGGCAACAAGACCTTTTGCGGGAAACTTACTTATCCGTAACATGTTGTCCAAAATGCGTAGCAGCTCCTCTCGCATATCGGGCGACCGAACAAACTGGCCAACTTGTATGATGTTAGTCTTGGATCAGAACAGGACGAGTGTGACTTACCTCCAAATAACGCCTGTACATTGATGAATGCCATTGCGCAGTCATGCTCCTGGCACGAATTGGCAATCCCACAGACCGTTTTAACACTTTCCGTCAGCTGTCTATCACGGAGCAGGTAGGCATTAAGTCCGCCCAGCGTGGGCTGGTTCAGCAGGACTGTCGCCTTGGCGAAATGATACATCTGCATGGCACCTGCATGACTTCGCGGATGGATCCATATCGGAGGAAAGACTACGCTTGAACCACCACCCCCGGCAACTGTCACGGGCTGGTACGAGGCGGGCAGGATATGATACCACTCATCGAGCGCACTCAGAAGTCGGTCACCCTGCTCAATTCGTTCTCTCGGATCCTGGTGTGGCGGGATTGCAGCCGAAGCGGCATATTTCACACACTTCCCGCAAAGGTAGACAATTCGTGTAGCTAGCTCGTCCGAGGTAAGTTCCTCGAGAGGTTTGCGTGCACGCCAGAAGGTGATGGTGGGCCGGCCCGCCTGAAAGGCTGCCCAGATGTCTTGTCGCAACCAAGCCCACCATACGGCCTGTCGCAGACCATCAGCCGACTCCCCATCATTATCCTGAGACCGCTGGATCCAGAACGAGCCGCGCAGATGCTGCTCCCAGACACTGCTATTCGCAGCGCTGTCCGCATCAAACATTTCATATGTGCTAATCATGGTGGCTGTCGCCAAGATCTCGTGGGAGTCGGCATAGGATGGATACAGTAGTGTTTGTGAGAGATAGTGAAGGGTTTCGTAGTAGTACTGGGTCGCCATGTTGGTTGGAGCAGAGTCTGATTCTGTCGACAGAACGGTTCCGGGCAATGAAGCTGGGGTACCTGCTACATGGTCATCTGCTGCATCTCCATCCCCTCTATGCCGAAGACACAGAGACATGTGCTTGGCGCCCACTGCAAGGATAGACTTCAAGAGCCCCGTGTTTCGTAGTGCCAGGTGGGGCACAACATTACTGAAATGGTGAGCGGGATCAAACAAGTCTAGGATCGGCCCAACCACCTCGATATAGTACTGAAAGAAGGTGAGGTCGGTGGGCGATAGTTCTAGCCTACTCGTGGTGTTCCAAGGCTGTGATAAATCCTGATAACCTGGTAAGGGTGATCCAGTGTGGCCGTCTCCATGGGTCGGAGCGTGTCGCTGCTGCTTAGTGTACCTCGCCTCCTGCTGAAGCCGAGCCACGGGAAGTTCAGGGGCGGGTGACTGCCTACGAGAGAGTGCAATCTCAGGAAATCGCCATCTGGGGTCGCCGCTTGACGTATCATTCAATCGTTGGATGTGGTTAATGGCATCCCGCGCTAGCAAGTCGTACCACTCGAAGGGGGAGATATTGAGCAGGGAAATTTGACTTAGCGAAACTGGAGACGTCGGGAACGCAGGTTCAAGGCTAGGCAATCTCTGCTCATTGAGTTCGTGCAAGGGGTCGAGGTGCGGCGACTCGATTGAGTCGTCTGGATGCAGTAGTACAGCGGCCTCAGGGATGACCGAGGCGGTCGGATGAGACGTCGATGCTGCTGCAACATTCGAGTGATGTTCTTGGGGCTTCGGCGAGTTCTCCTCGACAGCATCTGGATTGCTTGCCCTGTTGTCCTCAGCATGGACCTCCTGGCGACCCGTTCCTTTGGGACTCGAACGCGCCCTGGTGGGCTCCCAGGCAGCCGCGGGGGGAGCTGCAGCTGTAGCTGCATGTCTCTGATCAGAGTGCTGTGTCGCGTTCGAGGCATACCGACAGATGCGAGCAGACTTGGAGCATCGCAAGCAGGTCGGCTTACCGTCATCGCACTTGACGCGTCTCTCTCTGCAGGTAAGGCTGTTTGGTGTGTAAGCGAGCTTGGTGTTCGCTTAGGTGCCATTGTGAAGATGGCAGAGCAGTTAACGAGCAAGGGGGGATCCACCTACCATCCTGTCTTTGTTCTCAATCCTCGTGAGCGTGAGGGTCTGATGCGTCGACGCGGCTTCGCCGTGGCGCTGCCCCTCGTGGTCGACCGTGGCGATGATGAGTTACCACCGACATTCATGGGGATGCATTCTTCCACTATGGAGTAGCAGTTTTGGTGTTGGGGGAGTGGCTTTCGTCTCGAGGGCCTCCCGTCCGTTAAATACCCGTTCGTTACCCGTTACCATTCTTACCCCGCGTTTGGTCTGCCCCACTTTGATGTTCGTATTGCAAGAAAGTGAATCCCTTCAGCCACTATGTCGTGAAGGGGGAAAGGGAGATTCAAATTGGCGATAATATACTGTTCAACGAAAATATGGTTGCCGGCTGGGCAAGTTATATAGCAAGTCTGCTTTTCATCAATGGCCCTGAGAGTGAGGAGCACCTTTCGGGCGGGAAAAATATATATATGTACAGTGAGTTCACCGTGGAGGTAGCATTCTCTGAAGCAAAAGTAGGCCACCATCTGTTTAGACATACAAGTATAGTAAGTAGTGGACCTCACATATAGACTCTTTACAACGGTGTGCCTGAACAGCGTAGTCCAAGATTTACCATTTGATGAATTCTGAAAATATCCACCCCTTCTCGAATCTCCACAAATCGAACCCTATCCCCGGCTACCAATTCGACGCTTTATGAGGGGAGAGACCCAGACTGGTAATGTATGGCTCTTGGATAAACATCTACTTGTCCATTAAAAATTTCCAAAAATTCCCTGCTATGTTATCTAGAACCTGGTGGCTACTGAGGGCTGAAACCCGACTTATATTTACGTCAAGAAAAGTATTAGAACAACACAAGCACCTCAACTGGGTCCAACACAGGCATGGATGTTGGAACTAAAGTATTTATTCCACACCAATTGTGTCAGTCTTTTGTCCTCGCATCCACGGGCTCATCATCGGCCGGCTCATACTGAACGCCCACACCTACCATGACTGCTTTCCTATGGCTACCAATACCTGGCAACCAGTGGTATTCATGATTCCTAATACCAGGTGGCTCCCACTTCATAGTATGAACCCTTTCAGTCTGGTGCTTTCTAAGACGAACGCCGCGACATGAAAACCCCATTCAAACGCTGTTGCAGCCTGATAAAAGGCCCAGCGATACGCACTTGCTAAAGTGCGAATAGTCGGGCTTGGAACCGCCGTGGATGGCGTATATGAGCGCATAAAAAGCCTTCTTTTGGGTCGACGCATAAGGCATGGTGTAATATCCCCTCTATAATAATCACCCATGTTTCCAAATTCATTCTCGTGGTTGTCTGCTGGACCCCGCAAGAGGGGTATGGTGGTCATTTCAAATAAATCTTGCCGTTTCACTGAGTACACTCAGAAAATGTTAGTGGGGGACCATTGTTGTCCAATAGACGTGGATGTACTACATAGGTGTTTGTTGAAGGGTTCGGAAAGCTCGGCTCAGTTTCGCCCAGTTTAATAATGCCAATGATCCCCTTATGCAAACCAGCTGGATGACGGGGTTTCAGCCACTCACAGCTGGCCTGAATGTACCAGAAGGTTTTTGAGAAAGGGGCAAATCCTCTTTCCTTGTGACCGCCTATCCCGCAATTCTCACTGTACCCCTGGATGTCACTGAACTTAATTTGGGAAAGTCACAGTCGCTAAAGGTACGTATGTTGCAAGTTGCAACCTTCGCCGTCAGCCATGCGAATAGCGTTGGGTCATTGGGCGGGAAGTTCGCTAACCAGACAATTAAATTCTCCATGCTTGGCGGAGGGCAAAGGGACATTCATACTAAGTAGTACGTATTGCACGAAGGGATACACCTTCACTCACATCCTAGAACTCACCACAATGACTAACGTTGTACGTAGTGATGTTTGCTTTTCGTCTTCGTCAAATGTGTGATAACCATTGATTAGGACTATGATTCATATTTATCCTCCTGGAATTACAATGACATGATGTGACATGATGTATGTAGCCAGTAATTACACAATCGTCCCCACGTGTGGTGAAAGCTCCGCCTGAATCCATCTGAACAATCGCTCCCTGAGGTCATGGTCCCGGCTCAATTTGGATCCATTTTCGGCCTTACCTATAGGGCCATAGTACTGTCCGTGCTTCGCTTCTGGGCTAATAGCCGCAAAGACTTGAGAGAGAGCGCCTTTCTCCACTGGTGTGGCAGCCAGGTAAATCGCAGCATGGAGGAAGGTTTTAAGGAAGATGCCAGTGGAGGAATGATGAAGATTGGTTGCCACCATCCCGGGATGGACCGAGATAATCTTCACCTTTGTTTCCCTCGCAGCCAACGCTCTAGCATAATGGAGATTGGCGAGCTTGGACGTGGCGTAGCGCTGAGTAGTGCGGCGGTTGGCGGCGGTCGTACGAAATTCGTCGAAGTTGTACACATCACTGGGCGCCATAGCGTGTGCAGCAGAGGAGAGCATAACCATACGAGCTTGGCTATTGACCTCTGCTGTCCTGCGCATAATGGGCAGTAGAAGCTGGGTGAATAAAGCAGGACCCAGCACATTTGTGCCAAATTGGATTTCGTATCCGTCAGTGGTGACATCTTCCGGAGTCATCATTATGCCAGCGTTGTTTATGAGGATGTCAAGGCGCGTCTCTTGACGAAGGAAGTCTGCGGCAGCTTCTTTGACGCTCTCAAAGGAGGCGAGATCCAGTTGGAGAAATCGGATCTTGGTGAGGCCTGGATTTTCCCGATCAAGCTGGGTAATTGCTTGTTTAGCTTTGGTTCGGGACCGAGCCGCGAGATAGATGCGAGCTGGGTTGTGCTTGCTGAGCTGGCGGATCGTTTCATACCCAAGGCCCGCGTTGCCTCCAGTAACAAGGATTATTTGGCTTTGAAGGTCGGGAATACCCTGTTTGCTGAATGTTGACATTTTGAAATGATGGGACGCTTCACTTGGGGTTCTTTCTAACGTAGGTCGAGTCAAAACAGACTCGAGGGCGGCAAGATGAAGCCTAGCAGGGTGAATGAAGAAGTCAGACAGCGAGTCTTTGGTTCCAAGCAAAATCTAAATGCGGCAAATGAATCACTTATATAGCTTCAGAGTATTCCTTAAGCTCCCAATCGAGCATATTCAATCAACAGTTTCCGGTAACATTATGGCCATTACCATCTAGGAATATTAAGTTGATGCGTCGATGTAAAGTTGTTGTTTGGACGGCGACCATTGGCTGATAAACAGTCATCCGGCTGTACCCACTTAGTACTTCGCAGTACTTAACCTTGAAGAATTGGCCAGTTCTAATGATGTGATTGGCAACACGTCCGTCATCCATGTCCACTCGCTTGAGTATTACTAACAAGATCCGACCCCTCGACCAGGGAAGACTGACAACGATCCCCACCCTTTTGTCTTGAAAGGACTATTTCTCGCGTTCTCCTGTTGACCGGTAGGGATAAATTAAGGAACAATGACACTATTTCCACCAAGAATCATCGAGAAATAGCTAAAGTAAACTAAGACCAACGACCGATGTGAATTGAGAATACACAAATGCACACGCAGTTGGGGTGATGTCTTTCAGCCTTGGGATAAAGACATCGATAAGCAGGCTTGGTACTGAATATTGATGAATATTGGATCGATGGCGCCTACCGGCCTAAATCGTGGAGCAGGTCCAGCTAATCAATTGTAACGAAGGGGCGGAGAAAAGAGAAGGGTGAAAAGTCACACATTCGTACAACAGACTTTAAGGCTCCGACGCGCCACACAGCGTTTACTATGGACCTTGGCCCTTCTTTGGCGCTGAGCTTGGTTGGTATTTGTGTATTCAATCTTGAGCAGTTACCTGTACTCGTGAGGCTTACCGCGGTGTACTAAAAGTGCAACGGCTATTATCATTGCTTCTTGACAAGCACTACAGCCACCAGTAAAGCTAGATTATGACGTGAAATTGGCCACCCTCATTTGTATTATCCATGCTGTATGAAAAGGAGGCACCCAAGTATTTTAGTAAAGGACGTTACACCGATCACCACATCTGCTGCAGCAAAAGCGCAGCTTGCAACTTTAAAGGAACATACACACCGTCTGTTTGCCCTGCTATTTACTCCTCTAATCCACCCAGCGCGATGGGGCCAATCGCGACATAGTTTGTCTACCGCAGTTGTGAATTAAGCTCCAGTCAGCGCATTGCTACCTACGCCGGGCTGCTAATGCCGCCTTTCATGAGGTTGCCGTCGCTCTGCTCGAACCGACCTGCAGAATTCTATCCTGCTTGACAAATGTTAGGATTCGCGTCGAAAAACTCCATCCAAGGCGAGTTAGCCACAGACTTTGCTTGGTAATTGGGAAGCCGTCTCCTACTGGCTCTAGGTGAGGTTGTACAGGCTGGCGTCTTTCAAGGTTGAGCTAATCTGCCCTGATGCCAATCACAGACATTGACCACAGCAGCGCAAAAACCGTTACTTAGAGCCAGTAGAACCTGAAAGATAAATCAAGTAAATTTTATCCCCTGCTAAGCTTACTAGAATTAGTAGTACAATAGCTATGTCGCCGGAGGACTGTAAAGGTATATATCACTCGGCATACAGAATAGTGCCTCCTGACAGTAAGGTATTACGATGATCAGTTCGGCTGTATAGTGGTCTTGCAAGGACCATGATATTTATCTTCGGAATGTACGATACATGATATCAACAATAACAATATGACCTGGTCTTACGAACTCTTGGGCCTGAAACCCCAAAAGATGTGCGTATCGTAGCGAACATAACATCCCGAATCGATATCCTTATAAGCCTGCTCAACAACGGACTCGAGCTCTTCTGGGGGAATGCCACCTCGTTTCCTCGCAAACGATATTAGAGCAACCATGCCATTTTTCGAAACGGCCTTGCGCGTCCCAGGAATCCTGTCAGAGCTAACCATATCATGGCCAACATTGACAAGCCCAGCAGAGAGCATGTTATTGTCCAAAGAGTCCCATCCGTGCCGTAACTGTTCACCTATGCCGTCCCTAAATAATTTGCTTAAGCGTCGTGCTGCAGAGCAGGTTGTATTTTCTCCGCCACGCAAATGCCATGCACTGCCAAAATTACACTCCTCCCACTGCAGTGCACCACCGGGCTTCAGGAGGCGGCATAGGTTCTTCACTACTCCGCTCCAGCTAGATGGAAGCAGGCCGGCTACTATAAGGCGCACGTGGACAAGGTCATAAGTGCCGACCAGGTGTTCCGGAACGGGTTCGAGCACGTCAAGTGGAAAGAGCTGTACGTTTGGTGGCAGGGTGGTTGCTGGAGGGAAGAGAGCAGTCGAGATGTCGGAGCCATGTAAGGTCGCCTCGGGATAGATTTCTGCGACTTTCTGCAGAAAGATACCGGTACCAGTGGCAATGTCAGCGATGCGGGAGGTTGGTAGTAGAGCTGCACTAATGTTCGGGTGTATAAGGTATCCGATGTTCCTTAACAGGTTAGTCAGGAACCTTCACAAAGGACGGCTAGGCTTAGCAAGCGTGGAAGTAGGTGAACCAACTGGGTTGTCAGGTCGAATTGCTCATTGAGCCTGGTGATAGCGAGACTGTTAGAGATACTAGTCCAAGCATCAATGACTATATATACCTTTCTGCCTCTGCCTCATTGCGAGGCATATTCTTGCTGTACGTATCTGGCATAGCTGGGACCGCTACTGTGAATGCCGGCAAAGTCTGAAGTGCTATGCTTTCCGTTGTAAATATGGGTCGAAAGAGGCTCCTTATATGTCACCAGTTAGCCGTCTGCGTCCTCAGTCGGGGTTTGGGTATGAAACCCAACCATGACATGCAGCCTGTGGGTAGGCTCTTGCGAGACTAAGCTGAGGAATCGCCCGGACTTGGCCGAGCTGACCGGGCACATGGGCCAATAGCAGAATCAGGAACACTCGGTCTTTCAGAGAGCGATACGGCAGAGTGATCTTGGAGCAGGGAACTACCCCTTACAGTATGATAGTAATTCATAATACCACACCAGGTATGTTTGACCTGCCGCTGTCCAATGAAGCCTGCAGACACTATACAGTATGTTGTTTGCGTGATCCGTCTCACAGCAGCCCCCACCTACTCCGCCTCCATCTTCCGCTGTTTTCTGGTTTCGATATTGGCTAAGAACAGCGTTCTACGATAATTTGTGATCGACATCTGTCAAGCTACTGCATGTCAGTTTCACGCATCCAAGTGTTCCGTGCCTGCGCCCTTTCCAGCAGCTCAGCCCCAGTGGACGCACCTCTTGTCACACGAGTGGCCAAGCCTGTGATAAAGACAAGTCATCTACTTTATAAAGCAGATCGCAGTTCGAAGGATTTGCCTCCCTCTTTCTGTACATAGCGTCTCTTTCTGTCAACCAGTCTACCTCTTTTGACACCCACAATGCCTCTCAGTTCCTGCGGTATCTCATTTCTTGTTTGGAATGTTTGTTTCAATTGCCTTACCACAACCATTGTCGCCCTACGGCTCTGGGCAAACTATTCCGACCGCAAGGGGGTGCGACTTCCGGATTATATGATGCTTGTTGCTTATGTCAGTTGTCCTCCCTTTGGCTATTACCCTCTTCATTGGCCATTGCCAACCCTTCTCTAGGTCAGCCTTATATCAAAAGCAGTGTGTGAATGGTGGTGTGTCTTCAACGGCCTGGGCAAGCCCGCTGCCGACCTCACCACGTACGAGGTCGGGGTTATATGGAAGGTACGTTTACCCGGCATGAGTTTCTTATACCAGGAGTCATAGATCAACAAACTGATGAGCGTCCAACATACACACCTGCAGTTCTTCACTGCTGCTTCTGTGACCTGGCTCTTCAGCAGCGTCGGATGTAAACTTTCTATGCTCTCCCTCTATCTCACCTTATTCGGTGTTTCGCGCCAATTTCGGACCGTCATATATGTCACCAGCGCTATCGTTACTATCTATTTTCTGGTACTTCTGCCACTGTTCCTTACAAACTGCCACCCATTGTCTTATGGGTGGAATCCCGTACCCGGTGGCGGATGTCGAGATCTCGCGCTCGAGGAACCTATCATCATCGGTGTGAATATCCTTCTTGATGGCCTTGTCGCAGTTCTTCCAATTCCAGTCATTTGGAAGCTGAGGATGCCGCTTCAAAAGAAGATTACTATTGTGGTGATGTTCTCATTGGGCTTAAGGTATGTTCTAGCGGGTAGTTCGGACTTTATTGGGACTTGAAATACAATATACTAATACCAGACATCGGCATAGCGTTGTCGCTGTGTTAATTTGGCGACTGGTCTTGACCGTTCACTCAGCCTCCGACTTCTCGATTAGTACTTGTCAGATTCTTCTCCCTAGTGCGTTGGAAATCTGGCTCAGTCTCATAGTCGTCAGCCTGCCCCCAATCGCACCGCTGTTTCAGCGGCATGTGGCACCGCGCCTGGCCTACCTAAGACTCACGTCGAAGAAGGAAGCGAGCGATGCACAGCGTCATCGAGCGGGAGCGGATAGGGCAGAATATACAATTGGGGGTAGTCCTCAGAAGGGGAATGTGTCAGGGCAACAAGGTGTGGATCAATCTGCGTCGACTACAGAGTTGGTGGACCGCAGTCAAGACCAAGTGTATACAGGGAAGATTGAGGCCGTGAGACAGGGAACGTCCATGGAAGACGAATGGGATGCGAGAGAGCTTACTCCCGGCAGGGGCTATTCGGTGGGTAGCATGATCGAGATCAGAACTGATGTTTTGGTGCAGCGTGAAGAGGCTAGGCAGGGGCTTAGTGAGGTATAGGAACCCGTAGGACGAAGTCCCAACGCACATCACATTAGCCTAGGTAAAAGTCACCAGTAATCCCGCTCAATTGAATGATAATGTGAGGCAATTTAGAACGTCAGATTGCTTCGTAGAACAGGGCCACTTCCCCCCTCCTTTACATCGAGTATAGTGATAGACAACCCTGGCAGTGGCCTTTTTGTAATCTACCGCTGCCTTGGAATTGGGTAATCTTTGATAGCACGTAAATACATAGCACGTTCTCACCAAGTTGGACAGCGCGGCCCTACTGAAAGCATCTGAGCGCAGGTTTGATGTTTCAAGCGGCTTAGAGAAGCGGGCTGAAAATGCATTTCCCGTCTTGGCCGATGTGGGAATCTGTTCGCCATCTACTGCACTATTCCACAAACATGGAGATCATTCAAGTGGATGGTGGCTAAGCTGGATGGATCTGCAGATGAATGGAGGCTGTTGGAGTAAGACGGGAGATGGGTGTATCTCGTCGTCTTCCGCAACCAACAGCATGTCATCAATAAGGTGAACCAACAAAACGCGCTATTAGCGATGTTTAGGCGAAAATGCAGAGTGAGAGATCTTCAAGGTGCTGCCGCCTCGCGTCTTACTTGGTGTTTGCTGCATAGGAATAGGTTGTCATGGCTGGCAGCCACGGGAAGACAATGCATGCATGGCGGGGATTACATGCAGCCGTATGTGCAGCATTCCTAAATCAGAAGGTGGTCTTGAAAATCTGATTGGGTCAGTAGGTTCTTCGGGACCCACTTCCTACATTACTTAGTTTTCATTACCAATTTCCTCTTGAGTTCACTACTAGTAGTAGAAAGTACTAATTCACTGTAGAACGACCACCCAGTGCACCCGATCCATGATGCCTACCAGCCTTGCCAAGTCACCGGTCTGGGCCGAGACAATCTTCTATCCGTCGGATCGTGAAGGTCCAGCCATGATCCGGCAAACTCCTTTTCCCTCATTCGCTCCTATTACTGCGTAGGGGCGGGCCTAGATCCTGGATGATATACTACAGGGTAGTCTAACATCGGTTATGCTGCTGACTTCTGATGGTCAAACAGCATTGGACCACGCCAGTCACCCACCCCACGTAGCACGGCCCCAAATTGACCCATCTAATATCCACGCAGGCCAAAAATGATTCCATGAATCATCAGTCGCCAGCATATGCACCATGGCTTTCGTCTAGGTAAAGCAACAGAGTGATCGGGCATTGAGGTGCCATCTTGGACCCCACGGCTTCTTATTTGCATGTAGCCGGCCAACCGTGGCCTATCATTTTTTCAACTGTTTATTTGGGCGGTTAAGATGCCTGTCATCTCCGTTCCCGCGCGCCGCACTAGATTAGGTAGTGCTGTCCCCGCTCTACCCCTTTTGGGTAAGGATGTTCTGTCCTCGGATTTGTTCTTTTCACGGATTGACAACCTGCAGGAAACCAAACAGAGAGGAAGACAGACAGGCAACTTTGCCGTTCCCATCTCCTACCCGAACAACTTCCAAAAAGAAGCCTAGTACCAAAATGACGATCAAAAAAGCAGGAAAAGACGCGAGGGCGAGATAACGGTAGTACAGCTCAAGAATATTACACTCCTGTTACGAGGAACCCCCGTCAATTGTCTTCGTCTCGTCGCTTTAAAATGAGACTTACGTTTGAAATGATCAATCATCTCACAAAAACAGTATTTCTAGACTAGCCCTACTACATCGTATTTGCCAGATCCTTAGGAGCCTCAAAAGGATTGTTTGCCTTTTTCACGCCCCTCACAGTCTGCGGGGTGGCGTCGTACCATCATTCTAGTGCCCGGCTCTCTCCACTTGCCTAATTCCTTGGGCTGAACTCTAACCAGCACGGTCCTGGATTGGCAGTAAGCTGATCCTTCAGGTCTCTTTCCACTTGTTCGCCATTAGGACTGGCCGCGGCAAAGGATATCCGATACTGCATCACCAGTGATGCTACTACCAGCCGAATTTGTGTCAGCGCCAGATTCTTTCCCACGCAGCTGGTATTGCCTGTGACGAAAATGACATGAGTCAGAGACAATTTCAGAGGTGGTTTCGCAAACTTGGAGTGTGAAGGAGACTCGGGTGGTTGAATGTACTGACCAACACCAAATGGTGCAAACGCTCGTCGGTCGCGAACCAATTCCTCTTGGCAGTACCAACGCTCAGGGATAAACTCATTGGGCCGTTCGTATGCCGACTCTACTGTTGGTCTTGTCAGCATATTACAGGAGCTTAGGAGGTCATGCAGCCGATGCAGAAAAAAAAAAAAAAAAAAAAAAAAAAAAAAAAAAAAAAAAATTAGAGGAAGACGCACATCGTCCAATAGTATAGCGGGGGGCACAGATTTTGGTCCCGCCTGGGATAAACGTTCCGGCAATCGTCAAGCCTTCTGGTGGCGTAACCCGCGTACCAAACGTCGGGACGGCTGGAAGCAACCGCAGGGTTTCATTGATGACCCCGTTCAGGTGACTGAGTTTGGATAACCCTACCGCATCCTCTGTGGATGCAAGACTTCTCAGTTCCTGGTGAATCCGCTCAGCATGCTCCGGGTAGCGAGCCAGGAAATAGAACAGGTGTGTGAGGGTAGGTGCATTAGTGTCACTGCCTGCAACCACGAGTGTGGCAGTGTCACCACTCAGCCATTGCTCTCGGCGCTGATCGACGCTGGTGAAATGATCTTCAATGAAGAAAGAAGCGATGTCCTTATCCTGGATGGTCCGACACATCCGTTGTTCCATGCATTGATCGCAAAAGGCTAGCATCTGGAACCACCACTTCGCCCACCACAAACCCGGCACGATTGTGAACGCGAGACGTGGAATCCAGATAGCTGGACTAAATGGTCCAAGAAGAGCTAGCGCAGACCGAAACAGCAGGATACAGCGGTGCCATTCCTGGTTCTCCATCATTCCAAAATTCATGCTGAATGCAAAGTCACCCATGGAGTCAAACGCGAACCAATACATGAGCTCATTCACGAGAATGGGCTGGTGCTGCTGTGCAAGAATGAGACACTTGAGCTTGTGCACCTTCTGTATGATGCGGTGTTGGTATTGTCGAATCGCTGAGCACACTTTAGTACATATATGCGCGGTGGATATCGGAAGTATGCCCTTACCAGTGCTGCTCGTCGCACGCGTCCAGATTCTTCGCCTGGTGTTGTGCAGTGCACGGTCCCGTGTAAAAATCGACGATATACGGGGGAATAATAGGTCATACCAGTCTGAGCGGGTGTTCTGGTTCCCTGGACCGTCCATTGCTTCGTATGCTGCTGGGTGATAGACAGTCACTTCTGCCGGGCCTGGGGGGTATAAGTTACTCTCCACATAACTGAATGGGTGAGCTACGATAAAGGAATAAGAAGGGTAAAAAGAAGTGTAAAGGCCACGGCGTCAAAAGACAGCAGGTGGCAAATGTAGGAAAGGGCCATACCAGTTCTCACAAAAGTTCCATACTTATGATACCAGTCTTCGAGGACAAGGTGCCCCCGCGAGCTTCGACATCTCCAGACATGCCAGAGCTTGGTGGCCGCAGCCAATCGAGGACCAGGAAAGTGACACAGTCGGTGAAAGAAAAGGCGATATACAACAATGCTGCAAAAAAGAGACGAGAAATAGAGCACCATAATTCTTTCTGGTCGTAAATTGATGGAAGTCGAAGTACCATAATGGAAAGACATATTGTCATAGAGGTGTAAAACCCCAAGCACGATTAGATGAGCTCGAATAAGCATTGCGATTTTCAAATGCCATTCTCCATGGATGAAGACGAGCTGATGGGCCAAGAGGCCTGCAATAAGAGCGAAAATCTCTAACGTGAGCATGATGGAGCGATGTCGGTTTACTTTGATCGAACCCAGGCGAGGTCTTCGGAAGGGATCTACGGCCCTTCTTAAGTCTGTTTGCGAGGCTAGGAAGGCACGCAGGCTCACAAGTACTCCGAAACCGCCAATCCAACATCGAACTACCATCATGCATACAGTCGGGGGCCGTAATTTCATAAGCCGTTGTGGCTTTGCTGGTAGTGTAAAGTGGCCCTGCCGTGAAGAGCGAGGGTCCATAGACAGAACATGTACTATATAAAGGATCAACTAATGCCCATTTATGTGTCAGTGGCCAAACTGGCACATACAACGTCGGTCTCTATTCTTGGTGCATTCACAACTTGATCGGTTCCTCCTGATTGGGAAGGTATGGATTACGCTTCCAGGATCCCCAGCATCTCTCTACGGAAGGTAAGAGCAGCTACAGAATTTCAGTCACCTTCGACAGTGGCGATCGCTAACATGGATCCTTCAGGAGTTTAGCATTGCTTGGCCGCAGTGCTATCTTCCAGAAATCATTAAACGACCTTTTAAGTGGTTCACCTATCAATGTCACACCATCTTCCTATTTATCTATAGTGATTTCAAAACTATTGTTCTTCCCAGCACCGTATTTGGTGTAGTCAACTCTCTTGCTACTACCTCCTACGGCTTGGGCGATGAGACATCTATTACCTTGCCACTTCTCTTTCGACGAAGCTTCTCAGCTCTTCTCTGGGTGTCACTGGTCTTTATTCCCTTCTCGATCAATAACCAACGTACTCCATCGGCTATTGCCGAAGATGCTGTCAACAAGCCCTGGCGGCCAATGCCCCAAAGGCGCATATCACCTGCCCAAGCCCTAGTCTTAATGGGCTTTTTCATCTTTCTGGCTCAGGTTCATATCCAGCTGCGTGGAGGAATTGGAAGACGCCAGTCGTTGATTCTTCTCGCCCTCGACCTTTGGTACAATACTCTCAGTGGTGCGGATAAGAACCCTATAGTTCGAAACGCCATAAATGCCCTGGGATATACGTGTTTTCTGTCCGGTGCTTTGGAAGTTTCTTTGGAAAGACCTCTATCTCTATTCCAGCAAAGCCCACATATACATGCTGAAGAAAGCCATCGGCTCGATCAATGGCTTTTTATCATTGCATGTATTGTCTTCAGCACCGTACATCTACAAGACCTATATGATCAAAAGGGGGATTTCATCCGTGGCCGTCGAACCTTGCCGTTGGTTATTGGAGATACGCTTGCACGTTGGATAGTGGCTGTGCCAATGCTGTTCTGGGGAGTGGCATGTCCACTGTTCTGGCACCTAACATCGGAGATATTTGCACTCAGTATGAGCCTTGCCTGCATCGTCGCGTGCCGCGTCCTGGCAATGCGAACTGAGGAAGAAGACCGTACGACGTTCTTATTCTGGAACTGTTGGATTTCCATCATCTACATGATGCCGCTTGCTGCAGAGTGGGGGTAGCTTACTGGGCGTTCTCACCCTGCGCCTGTATACTTGTTGGGGAAAGTGGCATGTATGGTAAACATTTCAACGAACATCCTTGCAGATGGTGTATTGATTGAATGATAAGCGGCAGCAGGGTGTTGTAAGGTTTAGTCATTCGTTGCCTACCACAAAATCCAGTTATTACTAAATCACCACATAAATCCTACCTACATATAGCTTCCAGTTAGGCTAGCATCACTTGCTAAATATACTCTTGAAAGGGGATGCGGGACTTGTTGCGGATAATCATATTGCCATCCGGCAACACCGCCAGAGGAACCGCGTATCCTCCATTCATGCTTGGGGGCCATTGTCTCGCCATGGTTGATGTGCTATCATCATCGCTAAGGTATTATGTTGTAGACCAATTGATCCCTGCTCTTGGCCCCACCAGGGGGTGGGTGGGGTCACTACTAAGTAGTTGAGGTCATTTCAATCAGGGCGCCTATCAAACTCAATGTCAAATACGCCCGGCGTACAAATAGGGGCAGTTGAGGATCACCCAGACACAGCCCGCTCTGTTCCAAACATAACGACTCAGCCCCATAGAGTTTCTCGTTCTCTGTCCTCTATCAACACATTGTATTCGATCAAGCTCTTGTAACACTGCCTTCACTAGGCAGGAAACCATCAAATCATGCTCTTCACAGAGATCGTCATTGATGCTGCGCCATCAGCCGTGCGAGAAGCCGTGGGTGTCCTTTCCCCCCACCCCTCACACACCTTCGCTCTAGACTCATCGCCTTCCTAAGCTAGTTTCTCGACTTTGCAAGCCTGTCCACATATCATACAAGCTTCTATCAATCTATTCATCTCCCCAACCAACGTGACACTGCAATGCCAGGAGATCACTTGATATGCACAGTCGACAACATCCCGTGGCCTGCCATCGTGGAGGTCAACACGGCAAGTGTTTTCACCTGGCGGGGTTACATTCTTTGGAATTGGCTGTTCAGTGGCCTGCACAGCTTCAAGTTTGAGCCGCTCGATGCAGACAGCACTAAGACTCGCTTTGTGCAGTGCGAGGAATGGGGAGGTCTATTGGGCGGGGCTTTGTGGATGGTTGGTCGCCGTAAAATGGTGACGGGCTTTAACAATTTTAACGAGGACTTGAAGCGACATCTGGAGAAGGCGCCGGTCTCGGGAAAGAATGTACGGTTAGCGCAGTAGATTTGTGACCACACTGCCACTCTTGCCATCACAATACATGGACGACGTTGGAAGCTTGGCATCAGGATAGGAAACATATTGAGTGGGGGCCTGGGGAAGTGAGAATATGCAAGCCATACGAAGCGGATGATCCAGGGAGCAATCAACTACTTAGTACTTAGTGACTATCTCTCGGATAAACACGGATACTGGAATGTTCACCCCTGAGTATTGTTATGCACCACCCCCGCTGTCCCGCATCGTATTCTACGTATTCTTCGTCATTCTGCGGCACATACTCGGGTTGCAAACATCGGCTAGGCTGCGCCCTACTACTTACAGCCTTAACTTCTCAGCCGTCGTCTCCGCCCTCTGTATGCTGGCAGCGTACTCAGCGTGTCACTGGCGAACTGGAGCAATTTTATGGCGGGTAATTAAGTTACTTTCCCATTCCTCCCCCCCCACCCCCCTTCCCTGCCTGTCTCACTTGGTCAACTATAGTACCTCCCCTATAGCGCGACTCACGCCTCATTTTCCCGATTTTAGTAAATTCCGAACTTTTCCCTTTTCCATACCCCCTCTCTCGGTGCCCGTTTGGGGTTCTCATCGACCCCCAAACTAGTCATAACCCCTTTCGAATTTTATGAAGGTTGCATTCCGTGTCCAGCTTGCCAAATGTATGTGTCACGGAAATCACAGATAGATTCTTTCTCCACCACTTCTTCCTTCTTCCCGCGGCTCTGCTAACTGCATCACATGTTGCTGCTTGGCCCGGACTCGCACATTCCATCTGAGGCCGTTCTCGGTTTGGGTTTTGTAGACCGTGTGGCACAGGGATTCTTCCAGTGCGTATTAATGTCCAGTCTGTCGAAACAGATAACCCAGCCTTCCCGTACTGCTCTGGGAAGAAGCCATTCTCTTGGGCGCGTCCTTCGTTCGTCTGAGGCAGCAGGCTCGTTTAACCACTATGTTGATAACGGCCAGCCACATGAGGTATACACCGGTCAATTAGGTTCTGGGCGCCAGGGTCGTTCGAGATTCCTCAACACCAGGACTACTTCCATGCAAGACATAATAAGGCTCCTCAAGTCTCAGACTAATAATCTAGAATCATGATTATTGTTATGTTAATACTAGTACCAGACTTTTTCTCGCACTGTGTTGGAAGACGGGGCGGATAAGGCTATGTTGCACAGTTCGCAGCAAAGGGTAAGTCATCCCCTAGCTTGGCACTTAATCTAGACTACCACCCGCCGGAAGCTTCATATCGATGGTACTTCCGTCACCAGCCACGTTACCATTGGCTGCCAGGACTGCTATTGCAGTACGCCTGGATCTGCTGCCTCTACGTCTATCAGCAAAAGGGACCCCGCAGATGACAACTGTGCATCTAACTCGGCTATTTATAAGTCGCTAACGCATCCTGCAGCATGAAAGCTATCACGTTCTTGCCTCTGACCTTAGCAGCAGCACTGCTTCTTCAGGAAATCTCCGAACATCCAAGGACAGAATAGTCGTGCTATGGTGGGTATGATAACCGGAGCTGGAACATCGAGCGCGAGTATTCTTGCAAATTGCAGCACTCAACATGACGGCGATAGCACCGACAACGCCTGAGCATTATGACTGAGGAGCAAGCGTACATATTCCTTCCTCATAGGTAGTCTGACTAATGTGTAACTTAATAGTTAAAAGCCCTTTCCATGTTAGGCCCTGTACCAAAATAGCACTGATCGTGTTTCTCAGGAAACAACAATATCGGAAATTTGGAATGAAAAATCAGTATTTCTCAAGTCTAGCCACCCGAGCGCTTTGTGGAAGCTTCTAGCCATCCCCATAATTGGCACACGTTATAGTCTGGCACATTGCTCACGATCATTTATGGTGTGACTTACGTCCATGCTCTATTCACATCCACATTTGTTGTGTGTGACACTTTTCATATACCGCATGACGAAGTAGTGACCATTTTGCTGACATCAGAAACGTCCATATACTTGATGCTGATGATCAGGGGCTATGCTGTGGACATGCACCACTCAGTCCGCCCATGTATCTGGTTGGCCTTTCATGGGGCGATCAGGCGACCATCTCCGTTTGTCTACAGAGTTTCCTAGCGGTACCAGTCTTCTGTCTGGTCATGATCCCTTTATATCTGAGGTCTTTGGGGGAAATTGGTACCGCTGGTGCACAAACACCTTTGAGGCGGTCGCTATACTCCCCTAGACTGTATCGATGATAATAACTGCGCTCCTCCGCCAGCCTATCAACGATAATTGTAAGATGACCGTCAGTAGGGTATGCGGGGATATGATTGAGATAGAATTGACCATGGGGGTTCACACTTCGTGGCGTATCCTGCTGATCGTGTCTCTGCCAATGCTGATTGTGTGGTGCCCAAGGAGATGAAAATCGGTGTTACTGCCAGCCTTCCTACTAGATGTTGCATGTACTGTTGCTTGGCTATCATCACCACCCTACTACTATCTACGCTCCTCTTCATTTCTGTCATTTAAGTTTTCGACAAAGACACTGTTATTTGGCAAAGCGCTAATAAAAGTTCAATCGCCCTATATCTACAGGGTGCTGGACCTATCAACGTCGACCGTTCTCATAAAATCTCACATCTTACGCTTCTAAGCCTGTTCACTCGCATCTTCTTGTCTCTTCCTCTTCAGTATCTGGTAATATTCTTCAGTATACTCATCTGGGTCCCATGCCAATACCCTATTTTTCATCTCGGCAAGCTTCTTCACTACTAGTTGTTCCATCTAACCTCTTTGGCTTTCATTCAAGAGCTGTACCCTTTCTTTCCATGCCTCACTTACATCGTCAGTCTTGATGGCTCCATAATACCGTCTGTCAATCTCCAACCAGTAAATCGCATCAAACGCAAAGCTATGCAAAACAGCATACACAACCCAGAAGTCGCCGGTCTCCCAACTCTTTTCCATTTCAGCCGACAGTCGAAGCTCACTAGGCAGACCCTCGGCATCCTCACAGTGCCGTAATGCCGAGAGAAATGTCTTGAGACGTTGATCAAATATCCGTTTCCAGTCCTCAATTCCTTCAGACCATTCGTCTGGATTTTCGATCAGAAGCCACCACGGAGGTGCGAATGAGAACTCGACCGGTGCTGCATAGGTAAACTCCCAGTCCACCACACCAGTCACTCGTTCATCGTCATTTAGGAGAATATTGCCTGGTCGGAGATCATCACACCAGAGCCTGAATGGTCCATGCTCATGCCGTGCGCTGAAGAGTCTCCTTTCCTTGGCAAGTTTGTAGAACAGTTGCCTTGCAATATACTTCCGCCGACAGTCGTCTGCGGATTCGACTGCATCATTTCTTTGATGAATCAAATGTTGGATGTTAAGCTGTGCTAACGCTTCAATGTACGAAGACGTAGTCTTGAAAGTGGCATCGGGTGGTGGAAGCTGTGAGCGAGGCAATGTTCCCAAGCGAACGAGCTCGTTCATGTTCATTGTTAACGGACGACTGGTTATTTCCCAGGTACAGTCATCTACCTGCACAAGCGACCCTATCAAGCTGAATTTTGGCTTGGCAAGCTCGAGAAGAATCTTTGCTTGTTCGGCGTAGAGCTTCCAAAGATCCTCTTCATTGATGTCTGGATTAAGATACCCTCGCTTCTCCACCGGACAGCTGGGTGCATTCAATGCAGTATACATGTTTGTCGTGTGTTCAATGTGGCTCATCATAATAAAAGGGCTGAGTCCGAGTGGACTCTCATCTCGTGTCCCAGAGTGAAGAACAGAAGGGATTGGGATTGATGTCCGATTTGACAGGTATCGCATCAAAGCAATTTCGTTTCTCGTTTTCTCCTCGGGGAAAATGATCGCTCCAGGTTGCGAAAAGCGAATATCAGTCGCCCTTTGCGTGTACTTCATTTGCAAGATGATGTTAAACGAGCCTTTCCCGATGATACTGAATTCGGGGTCGTCGCCGGAATCATGTGTCAGGATGAAATTTGCAATGTCTTTCTTCACCTCGACGTTAAGAAATTTATTGACCCAAGTGTCCGAGATTTCGTCCGACTGCTCCCATGCCACATCGTCATAGCTCATTTGGGGCTTCATATTCGTAAAGGCAAGCGGTATCGTCGCTCTCTGGGGACTCTGTCGACTCGGTAGGATACTGAGTATAGGTGACTAATATTGCTTGAATACCCCATCTGGTACATGATTTGCGAGCATTGCCTGAAATCGGGGATGAACCTTTTATACCATTTGCAAAGTCGAGGGTTGGAGCAAGATTCCAAGGAATATGCCGTCGAATAAGCCACGAGAGACAAAGTTGGCAACGGGATCAGCCGTGATTTATCTGTCACAGCCATGACAACCCAGCAGTTTATCAAATGGTTATGAATATATTCCTGATTCAAGGAGTGAATCTACAGTATATACAAATATTAATGCCAACGATCGGAGATAGCCCGGGCTATACACTATCCAAGTTATGGTACATGATCAGAAATCCGGCAATACTTGAGAGTAACCACTTCAATTGACCTTGTTCGCATTCAGAATCATTAGCAAGCTTTGATTTTCAGTTGCTCGGTATATATTACTGATGGCTATTATCTGGGATGAAGATTTTGGAGAACAGGCTGGGTTGGTCCGGTGGTGGCACCTTCGGTTTCTCCCCGCCCTGTTCATAAATCTCAGCAGTTTGGGGCAGTCTCACCCTGGGCTTCTTGGTCACAAAGTCAAGGTTGGTTGACAAAGTCTCCTTGAGTGGTTTTTTGGCACTTAGTAAGGGCGAATTTTCGAAGCCCTTCGAAGACGGGGTTTGCGGGGCTGTTATACAGATGAGCGAGGTCCCAGCTGGTAATAAGATGACTTACTCGTGAAATCAAAGACACTTGGGGTTAGGTCTCCGGGAAAGGGCTTGGTAGTTTGTGATTTAAGAGTTTTCGCTTCTTGCGGACTTCGAAATAGTGACGACTGAGTCGTCGATTTTGCCCCTGTGACTGGCGGGCGATTGTCCTGAAAGCCAATTTGTGGTTTTTCCAGCTTTTTAATTGAGGGTGGGCCACTCAATGAAGGCTTTTGGATGTTGAAGGTCTTGAGAGTGCGAAGACCAGCCTGCAATTTCTCGACTTCAGTGGCCAAACGGTCTCGCTCGTCGCTGGTAAAGGATGGCTCGGGAGGTTGATTCGCGCACCTGGTCATCGTGCATATTTTATGTTACCTGGCTAGTCAGAATCCGCTGTAGAGGGTCAAGAAGACAATTTTCGATGCCCAGAGTTGCGACGTTGTCGACGAAGGTCAATAGAGCAGTCTGCGAGAGAGGAATTAGCATCCGCCATGTTCTTTTCTAAAGCTACATCTTCTGCGTTTCCGTTCTTACATCATAATATCCTTGCATTCTTCGATTGCTTTTATCGGAAATAGGGCTTCCCCGTCGGGCTTATAACTATTACTAGATTTGAGCGTTGTGTTCAACGAAGATAGATGTCGTTCGCTTCGCGCCTTTTGTATCTGTGTGAGGAAGCTCTTGCTCATGGGCAGCGGGTGGCCCCGTTTCGTGTATGCAGTCAGCTCATTGAGCTTGGCCAGCAGGTTTTGCCTCAGCTTGTCCAATACAGCTCAATAATCTGTCCACCCAGCAAGGAGAACGTATGATCGTCGGCTGTGTGCTGCATCACAAGTAACGCAAAAGACCGCACTGACTCCCAGGTCTTCATGAGAGGCTTTTTGGCAAGTTCTTCTCACGGGAGGGACTGTCCGCGAAACAGGCTACCAACGAGGAGCTGGTTGGCGCTGCCTGGCAACTCAATCCCTCTGTTTTTCCGAGCCTCTTCGGCGACTTCCTCTTCCAGACTTTTCCAAAGGACAAAATGTGGTAATTTTCCAGATAAGTAAGGATTTTTAAAGCAGAGTGGTGTGCCTTTTCTTTAATGTCGGCTAAGAGCCCGGGGAGGTTACGACGAATTTGGATGAACAAAATACTGCTGAGGCGCCGCCGGAGACTCTCGATTCCGACACTGTTCCTGGATAGAGATGACCATCGGCCTTGGTTGATAATCCCTTCTCTCTTGCATTGCGGGCGTCATCCGGGATGTCCAGTGGTTCAAAGGAGCGATTGCGCAAGATGTGCCATCCTAACTGCAATTGAATCTTTTCATTAGAGACAAAATGGGGATACGTCTTCTCCTCCTCCGAGTCGGGTTCAAGAGTATCCGGTTGCGTGATGATCCCGAGCGTGCGCTCCCGCTTTGAATCAAACCGTTCAGCGATGTTCAGAACCTCCTGGAGATGGCAGTCGGCCTTTGCGCTGATGACCGCAAGAATGATGCTTCTTCTATTCTTCATATACTTCTCGGTCAAGGTTCGAACAACCCTGATTCCTTGCAAGCTTTGGTCCTGGCTCACAGAGTAATAAAGGCCAGGCAAGTCCACCAAGGTCAATTCCGGCTGATCAGGTCCCAGAATCTCGACCTTGAGAACATAATCACTAAATCTAGAATGGGCTGTTTTATTTACGCCCATATGGGCTTTGGCCATCTCGATGACAGTTGGTAAGTCATGATCGGCTGGGGACAGCTCCCGTGCGAACGCCTGCAGAATTGCTCGTTCTCGTGCATCCTTACGCGATGGCCCCGATTCAATGGAGGTCTTAATTGTGGGTGTTGGGCTCCGGCGCAGGATGACTTCGGTCGCGAATCTCGTACAGATGTTGCTTTTCGCTGGGAATTTAACTTTGGAGATAGCTTCAAGGATGGAACTCTTCCCACTTGACTAATTACCGCAGACCACCAGCTGAGGAAGTTCCACGAGACTGCCCACTCCAATCGCTCGTAACTCGTCGATGCCATCTAGCAACTTAAACTGTTTTCGTTACAGCTGATGCAACGCCACTTTCGCGGGGGTGCTAGACATGCCGATGTAGCTTTGTTTAAGTCAGATAATGGGACATGGAGTATTGCGACTAAAGTGAGGTATTACTTCTGTTGCGGCAGGTGATCATAATAAAGAGGCGATGCCGCCCTTAGGGACAATATTTATCTATTCTAACCGCCCATGTCCCTTGAAATCGAGCATTTATCTGGTACATCGACCTTGCATTCGTGTCTGTAACTTGATGGGTAGCTGGGCAATCTGTCTGGTCGGCCGGTCGAACACCTCGGTGCTAATGAGGGTTCGGTGGCTTAGGCGTAGCCAATTGCTATGTTCCAGAGAAAAGCATGGCCTCTGTCTACATATTCAAGTGAGGCGGAAAGAGCACTTGTTGCGCATTGGAAGTGAAAACATTAAGTGGCAATTATAATCTTGTGTTGCTTCGCATCCCCCTTTTTTATGTCCACGGAAGCACTGCAAAGATCATATGGCTTGCCCAGTAGCCGCATTGTATCCCTGCATCAACAAAGGGGAAGCTGGTCCCGAGTCAGAAGCACCATTAGCTTCCCCCACTTGGGTCCTTGATCGGCTGAATCAACCTATCACGAGGTCTAAGGCTGCCCGCTAACGTCTACGAGGTTTTGCGGGGGCCTTTACCTTTGCCCCAAGTTGTTGACACTAGCAAATGCACTGTCTCCTGTGGGGAATATTCTTTCATCTATTCTGCTGATAGGCATGAACCAATGCTTTTGATAGTCCTGGTCAGCGCGTCGACATCTTCTACTAGGTATATTGTCACCGAATACGGGTATCTACAGCACTAATCGGCCGGATGCTGGTTTTGACAAGGAGATTACCTACTTCTAGTTGCTACCGCAAACCTAGAAATCTAGATCTGTCGCAGATATTGACACCGGGGATGCTATCGGCGGGTGGCGGCAGAAGTGAGCTCCACCTTTTCGGGCGGTTTATGTACTTAGGTGCACATGTGTGGGCACGTTCTTGCCTAGAACCGATGGAATATTCCAGCTATTGTATAACCTGTATTGACTCATACATGGAACACTACTATTCAGAGAGGGGTTAAGAGAATGACTTGTGATCGTGTTAGCAATGGAATTAAACAGACCGTGTATCCAGACACGGCATTTGGCAGTGATTATATATATCTACACCATTGAAGTTATACTTTACGGAATGATGTGAATACACTGTGAAGATCAGACTTCTGGTAGTACTCAGAGTATCATTGAGGTAATTATTCCCGTAGAACTAGTGGCAGTAAGTGATGATTGGTTGTTTTGTTTCCTGAGCATGGTCACCTTGTAGGACTCACGAACACTAAGTAGCGTTTGTAACTTCGTGCTCGTGAATAGCAGACAAGCGGTGGGAGTCAGGATTGGAGCCTTCTTGTGGGACAGACGACTAAATATCCTGCTAGAACTAAATCTACAATAGTCATGGGTCTCTGATCATGTTTAGACATCCCATGTTCCAAGTAACTATTACTATGTTCAATTGGAAGCTTCTGTCCTGAGAATCCAGCCGAGGCATTCTGCGTAGGATATAGCTCATCATGTCCATATTTATATTTTACCTAAATACATAGTAGGGAGATTCCAATCGTAATGTTTGTCGTGACCCTTCCCTCCCGCCACCACCTACGAATTGAATACTTTGCATCTTGCGCAATGTCAAGTGCATTGTTGAGGGAAGCGGAGGATGACGGCGGAGTGGATCCGCGTCCAGTTGTTGGGAAGAATGTTCGGTGGAGCCCACCAGCCGCGGCAGAAGGCAGTAGAAGGCGCAGAACTCCCGGGCGGGTTGCCCGCGGCGAGGCAAGCGATTATTATTGACACGAGTAATGCATCCTTGCCGACCGGCGGGCCGCGTCGGAGCCCTGCGCGATGAGGCAAAGGTCTAGAGCATCCCTTCGAAGGTCTAGAATTGCCTTAAGGGATAAATTTATCAGGTGTCATTGTGTTTTGGGGGTCCGATCGGAGGTCGATGGGAAGAATGATCATCTCGCGGAGCAATTGATCGGACATCCAGGAGTTACGCCGTTACGCCAGGCGAAATGGCTTCTTTACGACTTCTTTCCCCTTCTCTATGATCGGGATGAAGAGCAGGCTCGTCCCGCTGCAGATAGTAAGTAGTATGCGATCGAACGACATCTACGGAGGATAACGCGGGTTGCTCGGCGACTTTTTATACTCTAAAGCTGTCTGCGAGTCCGACGCTGCGGGATCTTGCCTGGATGTTGCCCTAAATTCGTTGCATGCAGCTCCGAACTTGTCAAGGTCCTCTATAAGTGTGCTGGCAGTAGGATGTGTTTCCGTATCTGAGTCTCTTTCTTCCGGCTGATCCCGTCTCCGTCCATTGCCAGTCTGTGATGTTATATTGGATGGTTGACGAGAGTTGCGAATATCGCCTCTCCGCTAGTCCATCGACCAACCTCTGGATCCCTAGGAGATATTTGCACAACCCATTTCGATAAATGAAGCTGGCTGGGAGGGATTTTCATCCAGGTCATTCCGAGGCGACATGGTTGTCCTGGTATAGTGTGGCGATTGTAAACTGGCCACTGCCTTGGCGTTGTCGGTGTGACGCGGTTTGCTCCGTGTCCATCCCCATCTTCTACCGAATACCTGCGACGTGATGTGATGGGATGGATTGAGAATCATGTTGTTGAGGTTGCACTGCTGACTGCTTGGTGTGAGTTCTCTGGCGTTGTGAGGGTCCAACATATTATCCACATCATCACCCCAGTGATAATCTTCGCCTGCATCGTGCCCCTCAGCCCTGCCACACTGTTCTATTCTTATCGATATCCTGCATTCCAGCTATTCTTAGCACAGTGCATCCCACTGGGTATTGACAGGTTGCTGAGTGCATCGGCAATGAATGGTGACAGATGTGATGCGGTGTTCAGCTGCACCAGCCAGCACATCCTGACTGACTGCCGCTTGGAATAGAAACATCAGTCGGACAGCCTTTCCAACACTTCACTGCGGTCGCATTCGAGCAATATTCATAACAATACAACAACTTCTCTCGTGTTCCCAATAAAGAAGCCAGGAGGCTTTTATTGCCGATAAATTGCCCTGTCCTCAATTATCCGATTTGATCCGGTGATCCGGCTCGTCCACCTGCCGCGAAGGATGAACAGGATTCACCAGGGCCACTCCATCCCACTGTGGCTCCATGATCGCCATCCCCACCCGGCCTGGAAAACCCCAAATGATGGACGTGGCGCATCCGAGACATGCATGCAGTGAGCCGTCTCTGTACCCAGCCCCCCGTTCAGCCCCCAAAGCTCCCAGCCTCAGCGGCGCCTAGCCCCCGCCTTCGATCGATTGATTGTAACCTGGGCCGGCAGTGGACTCTCACTCAAGGCGGGAACTGAGGCAAAAAGAAGAAGAGTGAATGAAGTGAATAACAGAGACAATCATACTAGTAAATGCATCTTCTAAGAACCCCAAAGGGCAAAGGAGACAAAAGGCAAAGCTTGGAAAGACGGTGAGAGAATTCGCCGCTGTTAAGGTTGCAATGGCATCATGGGAGGGTCCAACTCGGCTGACGGACGGCATCACTTTTGGTCTTGAATGGCAGGGATCGCCGAGGCAAGGCGCCGATCTTTGCCCCCGCGGATGCGCGAAATCCCCAATTGACGAAAGTCTAGGCTAGAACTAGTAGCCGGTAGTGGTTGTTGCGGGGAGACCGATAACTGGCCATTCACGCTGACTGACAGTCGGTTGTCTATAAAAAGAGGGCATGTACCTGCTACATTGCTCTCTATTATCAACAACCTCTACTCTTCTAAACCTAAAAATTCATATAAGCTCACAATATTTACGACTCATACCATCCTACAACATTGAGAAAATAATCCACATCTCCAATCCTATTTCAACAGCCAAAATGCAATTCACTCTGCTCCTCTCCGCTCTGATGGCCATGGTCATCTCAACCTTGGCCCTCCCTACTGGCGACACTCGTCTCGCTCAACTTCGCCTGTTCGGCGAACCCGGCTGCTACGATGAAAACATGGGCGAACTGGGCATTTACCGATCGGCTCTCAACCAATGCAAAACCTTCCCCGGCAACCAAACCATCGAGTCTGTTAGCTTCGAATACAATGTCGCCGGCTGTGGTGGTAAGCTTCTCTCCTTTGCTAAAATTATATATTTTCGCGCTCCCTGCTAACTCTGCATACAGTGCAAATCTTCACCGAAGACGATTGCTCCGCCGGTCAGCACAACGTCACCCTGGGACAATGCCTCCAGGGCGACGCCGAATATGTCAGCTACAAGTTGGTGTGCAACTAAGGGATTTACTTCATGATATTTTCTACGATAATGTCGATGCTATTTGAGTGGATGGTGCATAATGAATGATGGAACAATGTATAGAGGGAGGAATGGCCACTTTCCCACGCAGTCTCCGGGAAAATAATAATCCTGTGTCTATACGGCCAAATGATGACGATGGATGATGGGACTTTATGACATGTTACGGTCGCGAATACTGTACCTAATATCTACCGACTATACGGATAATATACAGTCATGCTTTAATGCAATTGTATCATGTGTGTAATAGACGCAGTTCGGAAACCCCCCCAAATCCGTATAAATTCTACGGGGCGCTCGTGATAACACCACGACAACAACATACTATCTGTAATAAACTTTTTAGTACTTGTTACTTTGCACGTACCAGATTATAACGTGCCTTGGCCGCGAAGAACCTCGTCGACGTTGATCATTATGTTGAAATTACTAGCTCAATGACTAGGTTTTGCCTTGACATCCAGAAACTTCGATCCCTAAAACCAACATAACATCCACTGCCTCACCATACAGCTATCTCGAAAGCCTCAAATACGCTTAGCGTAGAAGAGGAGAAGATAAAGGTGCTTCCGGATACTGCGCGAATCGTTGTCCTGTTCTCAGAAGCATTGAAGCGAACAGGGAAGCCCTCTCATTGTTTATCACGTTGCTCGAAGTCAGTACCTGTATTCTCCAGGTCCGGTCGCCGGCGAATGAACGGACATACAGCCAGCCGGTTGGTCGTATGGACCTGTGCATCAATTGGAGAGTGCAATGTATGTGTGTCCTTCAATGAGAAGGAGAAGCTACCGCTTGTAGAGACATGATTCAATCCGCGGGGAAAGTCACTACCACTCGGCCAGTCAGTACAGTTATCGATGATGTCGGGAAGTTCGAGATGGCAGTGTCGGGAAATGGTAGTATAATTGTCATATACACTCTGGCAAAGATCACTGACTGTCCAAGTCTGCCGCAGTTGCACTTGAATGGGACAGCGGTGTATACATGGTCCAACAATCCCCTCCACTCCTTTGATGGGTAGGCCACGGGTGTTTAGCCCCAGCAGGAATGTTATATCTTCGGTATTGGCCATCTCTGCCAAGGTAAAAGCGAATGATGCCTTGACAAGCATCGCAAGGGTGATCCCAGGTGGCGGCGTGGGAATTTCACCAGCCACAATTGCTGTTACCTCTGCAGCGTTGTCCAATCCTGCAAGCGTTGGATTCGATAGAGTGGTCAGAGAAGCTCCTCGTATATAGTCCTTCCAGAATGTGAGCGAATCTGCCGAGCGAAGCTGTGCACGGCCATATACGTAGTCTGCAAAGGAAACTGCTATGATTGGCGAGAGCAGCTGACCACTGTAGCCTGTCTCCAAATCGGCGAACAGGAGAGGGAGCGAAGCCCCAACGTATTGAGCATGAAGCAGGCGTACAGTAAATGAGTGGTCTGTCTGTGACCGAAAAACAAGTCCGAACTCTGCAGGCAATTTGGTGGGGACAGGCGTAGTCCTGGGAAGAACCTCATCATGAAATTCACGGCTAAGCGAGCTGTAGGTGAACGGAACATTGGGTTCCTTCAAGACAACTTGGACTGATTTGTCCTTAAGACTGGTAAAGACAGTGCGTATGATACTGTGCTTTTGCATCATTGCAAGACAAGCGGTTCTCAACTGATTCACATTGATCCTACCATGGATATCGAGGTGCATGGAAACTCGGGTCCACCGACCAACGGAGGGGTGTGGCGACAGATAGTGCTGCCCAGGGAGTAAGCACCGCCCAACTGACCCGCATCGAGTCCATCGCGCTATTGAGTCCGTTCAAGCAGTCCTCCCTCGACGGGATGCAGATTGTAGCACCGACGGCCAAGGAACAGTGTACTTCCAGCAAGGACACCGCAAAGCCGTATGAGGCAAATTGCAATACCCTACTCTCGGCTGTAATTCCCAGCGCCCGTGACAGGTATTCCGCGTTTCCCAAAGCCCCATGGCACACAACGCAACCTTTGGGCCTTCCAATACTACCGGATGTGAATAACACATAAGCCATGGTGTCGGGGGTGATGTCTGGCCACCGGGCATCTGACCTGCCGGACGGTAGCCTCGATGTCGTTGTCGGGGATACGGTAACAACCACGCCAACGAGACTTGACAATATTGGTGCAACGTCCGGAGACGCTATCGCGACTGTAGCGTTTATCTGTCTGATGATGTCTTCCAGTCGGTTGGTGGGCCGGGTGGGATCAAGGGGCACAAAAGTGCCACCGGCCTTCATGATAGTAAATATTTCTGCCACAGTCATCCACTGAGGGCTGGTGATCATCACAGGGACCATTCGTTGTGGCCCAATACCCTCCAGGTCTTGAAGGTGGCTGGCCCACCGCGTTGTTAGAGAATCAAACTCTGAGTATTAGAGCACTCCATCCCGCGCACAAATGGCTGGGTGATGAGGACGCTCGCACGCGTGTTGGTGGACCAGCTCAATCAAAGCTGTCGCTGGACCCCGGCTATGCTTGCGGTTCCACTGTAGAACAAGGTCGTGGTTCGTTGCGCTGAACAGGGTGATGTCCATGATGCGTCTATTACTGTCGGTCAAGATTTCCCCAATGGTCTGCAAGACTGTAGACGAGATGTTTTCGGCGAGGCATGTTGAGAGAGTCGAACTTTTGTGGACTAGCGATAGTCTCTTCAAGACTGACACCTCGTCTACCTCACCGACCAATGCAACGTTATAGTTCCACTTCTCGGCCTATGGTTGTCCATTAGCGTCCAAGCCTTCCCGATCTGCTGCAATGTGGCCGTATCTCATGACTCACCTCTCTCAGTAATCCTGATCCGGAGATCTCTCGAATCAGGGCAGTGGCGGTGTTATGAGCTGGTGGGCACTCATCACAGAGATTCCCTAACTCTGTACCGAGATTTGATTTAAGAAGCTCCATCACTGGGGCATCAGGTAGTATATCTGACTGGATGACTCTTTCCGGGCCGGAGGCTAGGTGTGGAGGGCTATCGCAATAGTCCCGATAACCAATGCATATACGGTCATTTTCCAGAAATGGCCGCATGACGATCAGCCAGACAGTCCTAAGCAACAGCGAGATTGCAATCTCGGTGTCACGGCAGAACCGTGCAATGTCCGTAACTGGCAAAGGGAGAATATCTTGTACCATGACTGTGCATTCTGCCTCTACACCATCGTTCAGATTTGGGAAAATGCCCCCGATTTCTCCTTTGGCCTCCATTGTGGGTTCCATGCGGGGGGCTCAGAATATAACCTTGAAGGATTGAGTCCAGTCAGCTCACAATGTCAAGTCACCACTCAAAACCCCTCCTTGGGTGTGCTGGTATAATGCGCCGTATCCAGGTGAAGATCTCGTGGAGTCGTAACCTTCTGGAGATGGATACGAACTCGACCTTATACCCAGTTCTGACCGTGAGGAGCTCCCATTGCATGCTGAAACCGGGGCATATCTTCACGTCTTATCATACAGCCCGACGGATCTATCATATCACATGTTGTACACCACGCAGCTGCTGCTAATAGCACCACGCTGTGCCTTGTGTCTCGCATCTGACAGAAGCATTAAGCACGTTGCTTCGTTGGCGGGCACACCGCTATAACCTCGCTTTTACTCTACCTCTCGAGTAATTCTGGTATAATGGCCGTTGGGACACTCAATGATGGGGGAGGTAGTTTAACGGTGGATGCTGGTGGCCGGTTTGTCACCTCACTTCTGGCACTCCTGATCTCTACACCCATCCCTCTTGATGGTTCCAGGCTTCAACTTCATGATATAATTGATTTCCGGTTCTGGATAAGGGGCGTTATACTGAACTAATTAGAGCTTTGGTAGACAAAAACAATTCAATGAGGTGGCCTCTGGCCACGTGGTCACCGCCCTTCCTGTTGTCCACACCGCAAACCACCATGAACTTAAAGTTATGTCATACATCGTACGGATATATGTCGAAAACATTTAAATGCCTTATGAAATATGCCAGTTCCCTTTGAGTTTCTATCTTGATTGCCATCGGACAGCCAATGACAGGGAGCTGTCGAATATTCATGAATCACCACTTAACGTCAGCACCGTTCGGCCTTGGGGTCGGCCTTGTTACGTTTATGCTAGGGCCCAACATTGATTTCCGATAGATGTAATGCTGGGTGTTGATGGCAGCTCTATTCTCAATCGAGCTTGTCGATTCTTTGTACTTTCCATAGTCAACAGGGTCGACAGCAGACATCCGGATATCGAACGAACGGATTTCCAGGCCCGCAGATCAGTAAAGGCCCAATGGATCGGCTCTTTACATATAGTACTGCCTGACCATGAAGCTTCCCACTGCAATCATCTTCCCGGTATACATGTTCCATTGTAGTCTTGCATTTACTCCTAACCCAATCTCACAAACTGCCGGGAGCCTGACACTCTTTCGAACATCCTGACCACGTTCGAAGCAGGCGAAAAGCCTGTCGGTGTGCAAACAAGCGGTTTGGTTCACCTGAAGACGAAAACAACATTCAAAAATTTATCATCGAACCGAACGAAAGAGGGAAGGAAAGAAAGAAGTCATCTACTCACATCCCCACGCCCTATGGCAGGAGCTGCATCATGTTTGTAAGCGTTGAGTTGACGAACGCATGAAGAGAATTGATCGGAGCTAACAAATGGATATAGTACCCTCATGACTGCGTATTCAACGCACAAAAGCCAGGACGTCTGGTCCGGCACTGCGCACCCAAAATTCAAACGGCTTTGGTCGTGTCGGTGACCTCCTACAACTCACTTAAACTGATTCCACTTGCTACCTACACCCGTGAGTGCTTTTCGTTGCATGAATAGTACATCAGGTTGAACTCTGTGAGTCGCGATTTGCTTCTTTGCTTACTAAAACAGACCTGAAGAGTAATTTGACGCGTCGGTGCTGCTGTTGGGACACTCTATGCTGACTGGTCAGATCCTAATATCTGTCAGATTTGCGGTAGCAGGCTGACCATTTGGATGATCAGCGGTCGGATACATTTACTGACGCCGCAGACCCTGATTGGCGTCGAGATTTGCCATTTTAAGTTCTGCATATCCCATATAACTTACACGAGTTGTAAATCACAGTCCTTCATTTCAACTCAATGGTTTGATAGGACTTGGCCAGGCTTTTTCTTCCTCTTGGTCATCCAATCTAGGTCCCTTTGCCCTTCCAAAAGGCTACAGAGATCTCTGCATACATGTGCCCACTGGATAAAATTCTCAAGAACGTAGTATCTTTCGGGAAATATATTGTGAGTCATACCCATGCATTGATGATTAAATTGCTGCAAGCTTTGGACATTCAGGCTCCTCTTGCCCGAGGAATGTGTTTCGGAATTGATCGTTCAGAATAACAGGCGCTCTGACAGTCAAAGAATCTCTCAACCCTTTTCGGGGATTCGATTTCACCCCGGATTCTTCTGTTAAGTAAGACATATAAATTCTCTGTGGCGTCTGAAGATATATATTGTTTGAATATCATTAGTAGCTTCCAGTTGTTCGGTTGCGACTTCGCTTGGAATTGACGGTAAACTTTACACTTTTCAATCTCCGATACGATCAGACGCGGAAGATGTAGACTAATGTTTATTTACTGGTTTCTGGTGCCACAAAACCGTTCAGGAAACTTTCTTGGCCTGCTGATGTTTCTGTTGGCTGTGAGAGCGGTGTGTTCTAACAGCCACTGAACACCACCTGTAGCAATTCTCCTGTTTCAGTCAATTCAGTGTCACAGACAGCCATTCTTTACAAATAAATATTAATTACTACTGTTTGATTATTAGAGTGTATATAGTAGTGAGCCGGGTTTGGCCCTTAAGATAATCACGCTGGATAGCAGATACAGCCGCCCCTTTGATAAGATCCCTATTCAAGCAAGCCTGCTCGACACGGGTCTTTGCAATCCGGATCCGTTATTGACGCCTTCACCTCACAACCATTTCAACAGTTTCAAGACGAAAAACCATTGTAATTGATCGTTTATTCCGACCGCCGCTTGCAGGTCACCGAATACTCGGTCGCCATCATGATAGCCGGCTCGGAATTGCCATTCTCTTGCTTAGTCTCCTCGTGGAGACTCTCAACATCCTGGGTACTCTCACCCGCGTTGGTTCCTTTGATCGTACTGAGGTAGTCCCAGTTGCGAATAACCTTCTTGCGCGCCGCACCGAAAGTGTCCTTGGCATCGGCAGGGCGGATGGGCCTGACTCCACTGCTGGCGTGGCTGCCAAAAACAGTGGGGAAGAACCGGATAAGTAGAGGCCGCATCACCGGCAGGCACGAACAGATGATACCCACGTTGATCTCCACCATGCTGAGTTTGCGTGTCAGCTGAGTGCACTAATAAGTCTCGAGAAGGTATGAATACTTACGCCCACTTGGCTAAGGTCACTTTGTACCAGGTAAGATCCATACTGGAGACAAATGGCATCATGGTCACAATCCGGATGATTGCAATCACACACGCGCTTTTCGCGAGAGCAACAGATTAGCTAGACACGGGATAGTGATGGCCAAACGTGAGACACTTACAAGGAACCCATCATCAGCACTATCATCAATAGCACTCGCTGCTTAAGAGTAGTCTGAAGAGACCAGCAGAGTCGAATGGGTAGTGCCAAGGTGATAAGATCGGAGAACAGGTTGAAAGCCGCATTGGCGTAGACAAAGGAGAGTTGGTCAACACATTTGGCTGTCGGCATTAGGGTCACATCCCAACTAGCCTGCACTGGTATACAGCCGAGGGTAAAAACCAGCAAACTGATGATATTGTAAAGGGCAACAAAGACCATGATGCCGTATGTCATTTGCCGGAACCGCTTTTCGGGACTCAAGCGCAGGTAGAACAACAAGATGGACGTTTTAACCAGCCAGATTCCGACAACGAAGATGTCCTCTGCCGCAAGATCATACTGCAATTATAAGTGGCGGCCCGCTATGTGTGGGAGGCGCCTGTGGTACGTACCTGCTTGAAAGGCTTGATCTTACTGAGGTATAAGTCCCAAATGTGGACCCCATATCCGTTCCTGATGTCTGCGCATATTAGTAACGCCATTACCGTACATCTTAGTCTTGATACGTACTGAGCATGCACAAGATGGCAAACAACCACGCACATACCTGCGCCCAGATACAGAACCCTGCGAGCCCATTAGTAGGGTGTCCTCATGATATGCCAGGGATGGGCACTCACAATCATCAACTCCGATGGTTTTTTGGAGCTTACCACGGGTGTACAAGCGGAGGATCAAGACGGCGGTGCCTGTAAGGCAGAGGGCGATATTGATAGAATAGATCTGGTAGTTCTGGTTCGGTGGATTCACAAAGTTGGGCGTCACGCCATCGGGAGGCGGGGAGGCGGGGATCTGGTTGAGGTCGACCGACGGCATGGTGGGAGAGGCTTGTCTTTGCGCGTCCGTGAGAGAGCTGGTCTTGATCAAAAGCGAAAGTTGCAAAGGACTCCGGCCGTCGCTTCGCTACTTATCCTTCTTGTTCATGGTGCTCTCCAACTTGCCCTGGCTCGAGCGCGGAGGAATGGACTCGTTCGTATGCAGGCCGGAGCGACTACCGAGAGACCATTCACACCTGCATCGTATAGTTTGCGATCTCCGGGGAACAGAAAATTGCCGTAACTATCCCATTGAGGAGACGCCACTGGCCATCAAACTTCCTTGTCTGGATGGAAAGGATCTGGGAGAAAGCTTCCTGTGTACCTGGATCGTGTGACAACGAGGCTATTCTGGAATATAGTGGTCCGATTATCCCTGTCAGGGGCATGGTCAGTGATCCCGGATGCGCATCTGTTGCATCTGTCAGATGCAGGGGTGGATGGAATTCTGGGCGGAACATGACAGGTTCGAAGACCCTGGGGTTTGCCCCAAGAACCTGCCAGGAGATATCACAAAGCCAGGCTGACTGGTTCGACGGCCGTACATAATCTGGTGGAGCCGGACAAGGAGGGGAAATTGAGCTGAGGTTGGAATGTGAGGGGGTGAACGGATGATCGGCGGAGGAAGTGAGTGAGTGGGTTGTGAATATAGTCTAGTCGAGCTGCAATCCGGGCTGACGGGGGAGAACAGTGGTCGCACGGAATGTACTTGAGGCGAGCACAGGCCCTGGCCTGGTCCATCCACAGCAAAGTACGGAGGCCCGTCCACCAACCATGATCCTTCGTCTCTACCTTGAATCCGGATTTTGTCGCACCTATTGGAGGGTTACCTCGTATTCCTGTCGGCTGTTTCCCCGACTTGGCTGAGGAAGCTGGACGTATCGGCTTGTGGCGCACCGGCGCTGCCTGGACGCCGTCTGGCGCTATCGCTGCAGGTCGCGTTGCCTATCCACTCGCTTCCCGCCAATCAACCTGGCAACATCCCAATGTCCCCCCTGATGCTGGAACCAAGTGTGACAAGTATAATAGGTAGGTCGCCCTGGTCATTCCCAACGGAGTGGTTCCATACTTACTACCAGGGACCCCAGTCACATACCCTTGTCTATACTTCTTACCAATGGCGCAAGTTGACCCCAACCTTGAGCAGATTCAGCAATGTCTGGCCGAGGTCACGGCCGCGGTCGACCAGTATCGCAGTCAAGCGACCACCCCGAATAGTCAGGATGCTCGCTACCAGTTGATGGCTCGGGCCACCCACTTGGTCAATGCTATTCGGGGCCCGGCCGACCTCGTCTTTGCCAACTTTGAACATGTACGCTCCAGGTTAACCCCAGCCACCATCGGTCAATCTGGAATACACCATGTAGGCTAACGATACGCTATGGCACGCTATGCTAGATGGTCCGAATAGGCGCAATCCGGACCCTGTTGGAAGCCGGGGTGTTGGATGCCATCCCGACCGGCGGACAGAGCATCTCGGCCTCAGAAATCGCCGCCACAACCGGGGTCGATAAAGAACTTATCGGTAGGCCATCCTTGGGTTCCTGGATACCCCCCGGTCGGCGCTGCCGGGGGATTCCCTGTCGTTGCATAACTGAACTTATCTGGTTCCAGTACGCCATATGCGCGCTCTGACTCCATTGGGACCCTTTCGCGAGACAGGGGAGGAATTGTATGCCCACACAGCCGAGTCAGAGATCCTGCTGGCACCCCAGATGCGGGCGGTTTTCAGTCTAATGTAAGTGCGGCGGCAACCCCCTTCTCTGGGCCTTGGAACATGTCCGAGGGCTGACTAGAGCCACCTGCTGGCCAGGGTCGACGAGTACTCACCCGCGATGCTGCGGGGTCATGAATATTTCGTGCAGCAGGGCTGGCAGCATCGCATCGAACTGCGCCGCAATCCCTTCACTTTCGTGCATGGCTGCGACGGACAGACTATGTTTGAGCACATTTCACAGAGCCCCGCCCGTGCAACCCGGCTGAATGATGCCATGGTAGCGGAGGATTCTCTGCTGGCGGAGATTGGTCTATATCCCTTCAAGTCTACGCTGGGGCCACTTGCACAGCCAGACACCGCCACCATCGTGGATGTTGGCGGTGGTCGCGGGCATATCCTGCGCCAGCTCAAAGAGAGCTTGGCAGGAGTCCCCGGGCGGTATATCCTGCAGGATCGCGAGAGTGTCATTACTGATAATGGTCCGGAGATGGAGGCTCACGGAATCGAGCCGATGGCGCATGATTTCTTCAACCCACAACCTGTGCAGGGTAAGCAGTCCCCACCATTCCCACAGCCCCATCTATCGGTCTAACTGACACATTGATCATATGTATCAGGCGCCCTCGTGTACTTTGTGCGTCGCGTGCTGCATGACTGGCCTGATGAGGAGGTTCATCAGGTCCTCGCACACCTGGCGGTCGCGATGGATCGGGAACGGTCGCGAATCCTCATTACGGAGACGATCATCCCCGAAGTGGGCGCGACCGCAACCAACGCGTATATGGACTTGACCATGATGACGTTTGGTGGGAGAGAGCGGACGGTGAAGGATTTTGCGCACCTCTTCGATCTAGCGGGGCTGCAACTGGCCAACGTATACAAGGCACCCGGAGTGCCCATGGTGGTGTTGGAAGCTCGCCTGAAGTGAACTTTAGTGTAAAAAATCAGCCGCTCGGAGGTGTGGAGGGGGCTACCTGGACAGGAGGGGCATTCATCTTGTGTTTTTCTGACTTGAAGATATTCGCTCTATCGGTCTCATTGCGTAGCTGGTAGCTAGAGTGCAATTATAACCTCCTTTCTCATTCCCTCTAGGTTAGCCTGCAATGCACTTGAAGATTTAATTTGGATGGTTTGGGGTAGAGGAGATAGTAGATTAGATTGTGTTGCGTCGAGGAATAGCTGGCAAGTTGAAGCTTGACGAGAGAAGGCAGTCTTACTAATAGTATAGTAGGAGGACTATTATTACTTATTACTACAGTACTGGAGAAGGCAAACAGGGTCAGGTGCCCATCGAGCCTGTGCAAACAAGGCCAACCGGTCAGCCGTCAGCGTCCAATTTTCTCTTTCTCTCTCTGTCTCTCTGTTTTCTCTCTTCCCCCGCTCCCCTCTTCTCTCTACGCTTAACAGCCGCTCAACTGATGCTTTCCACAAGATCATTTTAGTGTCATTATATACTCTATAAAGGGCAAACTTCTCCCTGTTCAGTAGCCCACATGTTCTTCTGTGACATGGAATGACCTCTTAATCCGAACGGACCGACCCTTCTTCAACTCGGCCGCAAAGGTTGGCGTGAGGGGACTATTCAAGCTCGCCCGGATAGCTGAAACCACCGTGGTGGTTATGTTCCGCGTCGCATCAGGCTGGGGCGATTGCCACACTGCGGCATCTTCAGGGTCAGGCCGGGTCCGCGTATACTCCGTGAAGCTGGTCAGTGGCATGCTTCCGCGGCTTTTCTTCCCTTTGCGGTCAGGAGGGTCACCGAGAAATGCACGAAAGAGAGGTCGGAGAGTGACCAGACTACCCGCTGTGATGCCCAAGCCAACCTCGATAAAGGACCAGATGTCGATGGAAAAGGTCGAATCTGCCACACACATAGATTGAGGAAGGGCTAGCCGTCTTGGCCATGATTGACTTGAAAGGAGCAACAACAAACAGACTATTGCAGTAGGTATAAAAAATTTAAGGGGGTCGCGAAGCATGGCACTTACACAAGAAATCAATGTCCTCGTAATAATGCAGGCAAGGGATCCGAAGAATAACAGCCGTACTCGCCCTGAACATGCCAAATGTTAGCCGCTGTACCAACAGCAACGGAGGATTACGTACACACAACCTAGACTCAGGGTCGCGCCCAGCGCGATCTTTGTCTTGAGAGTGGTTTGCAGCTGGCGAACGAGATTAATGGGCAGAAGCCCCAGCGCAAAGTCACAGACGGCGCAAATTCCACTGTATACGTACGCCACCTTAATTAGTGTATCGGTGCTCATGCAATTACCCGCTCCTGTCCGCTCCCAAAAGTTTGAGACAGGATGGCACTGAAAAAGCATAAAGAACCAGAACACCAAGCTGACACAAACCGATGCTCCCATTACAATCCACAGGGTTATGCGCTGATACGTGTGAACTGACAGTCGAAGGAGCGCCAGCGCAATGGATACTTTAGCGATGCCGGACGCCCAGATATAGATGCACTGGCCCAGCCACCACCACTAGACAGGCCATTCAGTATCTCAACAGTATATTTGGGCGGATTATGACTCTATTCACATACCAGCATGGCATGGTGAAACTCATTGAAGCTGTGGAAATTACTCAAATGCTGGCCAACGCCATCCTTAGCACCAGCGATCGCGCACGCGGTAAGCACTATATCAAGAACCTGGAAACATGTTAACGATTTATCATCCAAAGAGCTTTGGCTAAGATATCAACCCGTTCTTGTTGGATCGGGGGAAACGGAAAACTCGAGGGGGTTTCTCACCATTGCAAGAACCATCAATATATCGTCCCATCCAAATGCTTTGAGCATCCGCCATCGCACGAAGCATCGAAAGGATACTGTCAGAAGGGACATAGCCATGACCACTACAGACACGGCCACAAGAACCTCACTACGCCCTTCCAGCGGCATTTTCGCGGGTGATGGCTGGTCAGGTGGCTCCGTGCAGGAGAAATAATTGTCGACTAATGTCCAAGTATCTAGCTCCTCCCGTCATCTTATAGGAACTCCCCAGATGTCGGGACAGTTTTCTTCTAGGGCAATAGCTATGGTGGGCACTCGGTTCATCCGTAGCGGCGCAGATCAAAGTTTAGCACTTAGGTCTCTTAGGTCACTATGGTGGTACTTGTGCGTGAGGTTGTGATGATGAGAACGAATCACGCATGAACGATACAGATAGCGTGGTGCAAAATCAAACTCTCGGACCCTGAGCTATGATAGCTCGGAGTGGTTCCGCGCTGAAACGGCGGCGGTAGGGGACTGCACGATGCGATCGGGACGATCCACCAGTGTGAAACTAGCTCAAAGCAATGAAGGTGCAAGGAAGGGAAAGGCCCCGTGTTTCGTGCCTTCACTCAGATGTGACTAACATCTTACCAACACCAAATCCACAACCGCTTCTCTCTCCAGGTAAGCTACTCCACCATCTGCATTATTTCTTCAAGGTAGTCCTATTGCCAATCCATCCATACCTAAAATTTCGATTAGCAAAATCCATGTAGGCCGGCGGCATCTATGGGCATGTTAGAGACTCGTCCTACAGATTCTCTATAATGTCCTTATGTGGATGGAAAATGTGTCACAGCTTCGCAGTAACTCAAAACTCGTCATGAAATCGTGGCCAGGAAGAGTGTTATATAAGGATGCCTACTCGCAGTAACCTTGACACATTTCGCACCTTCACGCGCCCGTCAGGGGACTGCGAGCTGTTGCTTGTAAGCTTTCCGTGAGACAGAAATAGAACCAAGCTGCCTAACGGAGCCATGAACCAAGGTTTAGGGTCATGCAGGGCAGCCCTGCCTCGAAAGCTTCAGGTCGAGTTATCTTTGTGGTGACAGGTGGATGAGGTACCCGGAGCCCACACAGGAACCGTTGGAGACAACCGGACGAGTTTATTGGAGTTTGAGAAGCCCAATAAGGTTAATGGCCCACCCATCCCGAACAACGACGGGACTCCAAGAGCCAAATGGTCTAGAACGGATGTCGGCCGATAGAGAGACCTAAGCAGGAGAGGACTCGGGAGATTGTTAAGGCATTAAGTCTAAAAATCCAAAAAAAAAAAAGAAATCGTTATTGCTGATTTGTTTGTGTCCTCGTGGTCGGGGAATTTGTCATAGGAAACCAGTCCTCCAGCATCGTGTCTCACTAACGTCTAATTTTGAAATCCACCACATAATGTCTGTCCGAAGCACAGGCACAATGCCACCGTGTTTGAGTTCTCTCTAGACTAAATCCCAAGTACCATAGTTGAACTTAGCCATAGCAGGGCTAATTTCATGAATGCCTGGGGCGCAAAAGAGGGCACATCTCCGTGTTATTCTCGAAGTGTCCCATCCTGAAACGATACTCGCGGTCGTTGCACTCGATGCGGCCTGGACTGATTTCCAGTTCCCAACTTGGTAGTGTGTTGCGCCGATCCACCAGGCTACTAGCCAGTGGGATGGGTCTTCCCATCACTTCCCCGGCAATGATAGAGCGGCCTTACGTGCCGAAACCTTGAAAGACTTTCACGGCTTGGATGCGCTTGAACACTTTAGATCGTGGTAGGGACGCAATTTGTAAGGTACTTCAACACTATACAGGCAATTGACCAAAAGAATCCGAAGAGGAATGTTCAACGGATGGAGGAACTTGGGGTAAAGGGAGAGAGCGATCAGACAAGGCAACCAGTTTTCCTCTACTTACCGCCTAACGCCTACTGCAAGTGCTACTCACAAGCGGCGGCAGAAACTCGCGGTTACTTATCGCCTTTTTGATTCGCCTACTTCCTCCATCCAATCTTCACCATCGCCAAGATCCGGGTATATCACTGTTTCATAGATCCATGCGTGGGCTTCAGGCATGAAAGAGCTTTCATTCCTAATTCGGTCTATTCTATCATGATGGTGAAAACTCGTACTACCCATCCCACATTGGCTAACCCATCCTTTATCCCTCAGTACCTCAAGTCATCTATCTTATCTTATGGATATTTTCAATATTCACCCTGTCCGCCTTGTTTGGTTTCAAAGCGCCACTAACAACCAACGTACGACTACATGTTATGATACAGTTACTACTGATCCAACTGCTAAGTTCCTCCGAACACTTCCAATGAGTGGCTATTTAGTAAACCGGTCTCAGCATGTTATATCGCAATGAAGGTTGAAAAGGCTACTCTTACCATTAGCAAGTAGAAACCGTTTCTGTGCAGCGAGTCATGATGATATCCCTTCTCAAGAACATGAAAACCCCCGGCTACCACAGCCCTCGCCCAGACCGACGATCATGACTTCCTCTTGGATTGTCGCTAATAGGTGTACCACAGCGATCACTGGCAAATCACAAATCACGATTGGATGCCAGATGCTCCATGGCTCCCTGACCAACTTTTTGGAATGTGAATCTATGCCTGAGGCGGTTGCATCTAAAATCAACAGTGAGCTTTGTGTAGCAAGACACGTGCGAGACACCAATATACAGTCCAGGCTGCTTTTGACTGCCGCTTATGACTGCCGACAAATGCAGTATGCGTAACAGTCCCCAGCACAGTCGGATAGCCAGCTGACAGCCACTTGCTGGATTGATGAAATTGGTATCTTCACACACCTGCGTCATCTCATGACTAAATTTCCCCGCTGAACGTGTTTGATGTTCTAGGCCAGGCAGGGAGTTATGTCCGATGGTCCCAGCAAATATCTGGGGCCTTGGGTGATCAAAGGCGGGACTCGGCGGTTATATGCCACTTTGATACGGCGTTTTTGCGTCCCCCGAAGAGGATGGTCCCCTCGAATGGCTTGTCGAATGGTTCCAGCAACGAAATAGTTGTGGACTTGCCGCCGCGGGAAGCATCCGCAGAGGCTACAAATGACCCACTTGCAATTGTCAGATTCGAGTGGACAAAGGTGGGCGTCATGGAGCCGAAATGCTCGAAGGCGACGCCCTGAAACACCACATCTGCCGTCAAGCCGCGATCGGCAGAGTCTAAATTTTCAGTTTCTGTCTCCCTTGTCATCGCACCTGGTTTGTTCCTCTCTTCGGATATCGAGCTTTCCGAAGCCTTGACCTGGGCGATGTTTGGGCCGAAGCTGAAGAGCTGAAGACTTCCCCTGGTTGATCGCAATACACCCAACGAACGCGACCGTGTCATGTTTCGCCAATGCGACGAGTTAACCACCGTACGTAGCGCCATCGATTTGATCGGCATTTTCTTCTCTTAAGCAAAACTGCACAGCACAGAGGACTACAACGCTCTGGGACGAGGTGCCATGTTAGCCGAATACGCAAACATTAGGATGCCAGCCTACGCCTTACGAATTCAATTCTGCCGCCGCACCCTCAGCAGTGCGGAACTTCGGAGAATCGCGTTCTTCGTTGTCAGGGCGTTTATCTTTCGGGATTCTCTACCAAAGCTACTTGCAACAGCTTCCGCGTTCATCCTGTCATATATGAGTTCGTATCGAATCTTGATGAACTCGGCGAACAAGAGAAAAGGAACCCCGGCCAAGAACATGCTGGCTTCCAACCTTCAGCCGAAAGCGCAGGAGTTGTCATGCAGCCAGCGTTCCTGAATATGGAATTGGGCGGGAATACGCTGGTTGGTCCAAATAATCCATGGATCTGCTTGGGTCTACAGAGGAAAGGGAGACCAGGCTTCTGGACAAGACTTTGCTTGTCAAAATACGATAGGATCTTTCGCAGCAACTTAAGGAAGTAATCCTTCCGGTAATTTGACGCCACACACTGGTGACTATCGGTTCCTCTCTCCTCGAACATGCATCACAGGCTAACTTTATTCCTATGATACACAACTAGTTCGACGCCATCCTTAGCAGGCTACAACAGCCCACCAGGGCAAGAGCTAGAGTGAATAACCTCCGAGACTATAAGTTGGCCGCGTCAAACAACCTCGAACCGCAAAATTGGAACACCTTGACCAGCTTTTGCGACGAGCCAACTTTGGAGCGGGATGCCCGCTGTGTATATGTCGGGATAGCTGTCAGACCATTGCAGAGATCAGAGCACACTTGTCAGCTGCACCAAACGCACCCAGTGGGATTTACGACCCATAGTAGCTTTTGACCACTTTGGTTGCTCACAACAATATAACCTCCTTCCGAAAGCATTCGGTCTAGTAAGGAATGTATTCGCGACCGTTCCCATTTCCAAGCTGATTACTGAATTCTTGTTGGCTTGCAGCTCTTTGTTCTTTCTTCTCTCTTTTCTTCTTCTTCTTCTACCATTTCCTCTCTAGCCTCGGCCATCGGGTTCAATTTCTCGCCGTGGGCTAGGCGTGATAGACATTGCCTGAGCAAGAACTACTTATTGGGTGCTCTGGCGGGTATATGACTTGTCGCAACACAACGATATGATGCGACGAACCGTGAATGGTTTATGGGTAATCATGATCATTGAGCAGCCGATTACTGCATGGTTCACTGTTACCATCAGCCAGATTCTCGCCTGCGGCATTAACCGACCTCGTGGCCCGTCCAGGACTAGGATCCATGACTTTTTCCCCATTCTGCGCGCAATTACGAGATGTTAGCGGTGACCTCCACTGAGATTGAGACCTCTTTCATCGACAACAATGCAGTACCCCTGCAACAGAAAAGCCTAGGCTAGGCGATTGTAGGAATCACACCTGTCCACAGGAAATAACTCATCTGCGTAGGCTGCATTATAGGCTTGGATCAATATGTTCATCTTCACGTTGTCTGGCTGAGTCTCCTGTCGGTTCCACCAAGTACAAATGTTACAATGTCGGGAATTTGATTATCGGACAAGAAGGGTTATTGCTGCACATATCGGAGACCGGTCTGCCATCGCTTTGCATCCAGCTTATGCATGGTATGAGCACTAACCATGATCTATTCAGGGTTGCCCTTGTCTTGTTTGTCGAAAGACTGTGTCAATCTACACCACCGCTCTCGAAGTGCAGCCATAGTGGTCTTCATCATTCTGAGGCTCCGACAACAGCAATAGAGCTTCAGCCCAGACCAGTGTGCTCCAGGGAAAAGCTGGCATACAGGGCAACATGCGCGCCTGCTATCATGGAAACTTTCATGCCCCTTTGTGTGGCTTCTTCGGCCCAGTGACTGTACTTGCGTGTTAGAAAGGCCTCAGCCCGAGCAAGAAGAAGACCGAACGGATCAAGACGGATTCACAGAGACCAAGTCAAGCTGGTACATGCTTCGATGGGCTTTGAATAAGACGGTAACTTTGGGACTAAGTTGACCTCACAGCAGATAGCTATACTAACTACCAGTGTAAGGCTCGAGTACGGAACGGCAATCGAGTAGGCAATAATCGAAGTGCAACAGGAAGACTCTCTGTTGAATGGAATTATACAGCCCACACCGATAGAATTTGTGATAAAGCCAATCGACGTCTCATTGTTTGGTGAATCGGCTGTGCAATCAATACCTCTGCATGTTCCAACCTCAACGAGAAAGATACATGAAGACTGACAGGCCGATAACATATCTACCAGTGGGAATTTAGAGCTGCCTTAGCCAGGCATAGCTCGCCAGTATATGTAACAAAACCCACTAGGTGATTATATAGTTTGAAAAAAGAAATGAAAAAAAGAAAAAAGAATGGGTTGGATTGATTTGATTATAGCCTGCTCGAGTCACTGGAGTATTATCAAGTAGCTATGCAGACTCACAACAACTCAAATACAGGGGCTACCTCCTTATGTAGGTACCTATAAACAGGTTATGATTCTTGTCTTCCAATGCCACCCTGCGTACATCTAATCAAGTAGAATCTATATGTAAAAGTTTCAAAAATTTCTGAGAAATTTTCATTCTGTTGAGTATGGAGACAGTGGTCAAGAGATAGGTACCAAGAACTATACTCCATATTGCTTTCAATTCCTGCCTGGTACTACATATATCCAGTCATCATTCCCCCGATATAGTTGATTATATTCACTGTGGATTTCAATCCACTATACGTTGTTCTAAACATGCATAAGGTTCTCTACCACAAGAAACTTGTCCAGTCTCAGTCAGGATGATCACCACATACACCATCTGACGACCGACTAGGGAGATATTCGTGAGGACAGATCCTCCCATTTCCCGCAGTCCATTGTCATACAGCGCAATGATTGTAGCAATGTGCAACCACGGAATACATTGATTCTCCTGATCATATAACTTGAGTACTATGAGTGCAATTTGCACAAGTTATTCACAACGCTTATTAATGCATGCATAGCTCCCGGTGACGCTTTATGAGCCCATCCGCAAACGGAAATTCTGTGGGTTTCGCTCTACGCAAAGTGCCAAATGATTGGCCAGACAAGCGAGGTCTATCTGCCAATCGGACGAGAGACTATTAATATGCCCGAATGGCCAATGCCGATCATGTCGGACCGTCTCGGGACGAATAGAACTGTAACTGTATGAGTAAGCGACCCTTGCATTGGGACCCTGAAAAGACCAGAAGCTGATGGGATTCAGCGGTGCCTTGAGCAATTCTAGCATGATGTATAACAAGGAATGGTGTGAAAAAGGGATTGATGTGATATATTTGGCATAACGTGGTGGTGGTGCCATAGTTTACAGAATGTAATAAAAAATAGTACTCATGGCAGCTTTCTATGTTGGTGCAGATTCGTGTCACATGGAGCCGAAATATATATTCAACACATGGTTATGCTCATTTTCACGATAATACTACGTAGCACTACCATGATAAGGACTATTGTCCAGGAACAATATCATCGTAATGCAGTGATGCGGCTTGCAAATAATAATATCAATATTACATTGGATAGAGACTTATGGTTATGAGAAATTGAATTGTCCAGGAATAAAGTTGACTATTGTGAGGCCTATCATGGGAATATAGCAATGTGATAGTAGTTAGTTTTCACCGTTGAATTAGCCTGTGTATAACCCACCACCAACACTAGTAGTACTTTACTTTTTATTAAAGACTCAACAGTGATGGATTTCTAGACAGTCTTCTAGGGCCTTGGCGGACAATGGTGGCCGTTACCATCATCACTAGTGTTTGTCGTGCAAGACATCGTTAGGCTAAGGTCGCGGTCCCACTGTGATCGGCAACTCTATCTTTCAAACGTGCAGATCTTATACTCTCCCCTTCCTAAAAAAAAAATGGATATATGCAGAAATTACTATATTTGAGCCCCGATTTAAACCAGGATCTATGGTATAAGCGGATGCTGACGCTTCCGGGTTGTCATCTACCGCATGCTTTGCCGTTCCATAGCGCCCTCATGTACGAAATACTCCCGCGTCACCGAGATGCCCGCGGTGGGATCTTCAGCCGACATATTCTCCTTAACCAGCTCATCTTCCGAGTCATGCCGCGACAGCTCGTCCGGCCCACCGCGCGATACGGACACCGTGGTATGCTGCTTGCTGGCCAATCCCGCAGCTCCGGAGTTGGACAGCTCGTATCCTCGACGGCCGCTGTACGTGCCGGTGCGTGAGTGGGAGCCGAAGATCAGCGTGCGTAGGACAGGCAGGCACGATGCGATGATTGCAATGGCCGTTTCAATCATTGAGACCGTGCAAGTAATCATCTGCTCACCCAAGTTCGAGTAGATAGCACGGATAACTGGTCCCGTTAGCCTGGCTATGACTTTATGTGATGTGGGAAAAACTAACTGCTAGTGATGACGACGATGACACCCAGCAGAAAGACGGAGATCACACCGAGCTTTTGCTTTCTCGGCATCTTGAGACGGGCTACCTGAGAGATAGGAAGACAGATGACTGTAACGTTAGTTCACTATTCAATGAGCTCGTGGTCGGGGCTTGTCTTACTGAAGACATCACTGAAGATGTTAACTAGGGGCATGGTTAGCTGTAAGTTCAACGAGACACAAGATACGGAAGGGCTCATACATAGGATTGTTAACCAGTAGTTAATCGTCGACTGCTTCGCCGAACACGTCACTAGCAGCTAGTCAGTAAACATCTACTGGAGCATCCTGTTACTCTCCCACTTACACTCCGGATTCTCAAAGCTCTTCCATTGGCGATCTGGCGGATAGCACTTGAAGACGATGTCGAAGAACAGCACCAGCCAGGCAGCGGCCAGGACACCCAGGGTGATGTTATAGATAGTCTGATACTTGGTGCGATCGGCCAGGCGCTTGTAGAACAGCACCATGCTGGCCTTGATAAGCCAGAGCGAGGTGACATACAAGGTGGACCCGGGAATAATCAACTGTGGCAGGGGAAGAACAGAGTCAGCAAGGAGCGGAGGTGTGGATGCTTGGAAGTGCAGATCCCTGTCCTCATACTGACTTTCTGCATGTTGATCTTTTCGGCCGTGGTTGTCTTGGCCACCTCTGACATGCCTGTGGGTGGGGAGAAACGGGTGGTTAGACGTCGCACGGATCACTAGTAGGCGAAAGGATGGACAAACCCTGGGTGAACATGTAGTGCTGAATGCCCAGGTCACCGATCAGACACAACGCGGAAGCAACAACGAAGTAGTCATCGAGATAGAGCTTCTTGAGGAGTCGCCACCGGACGATCAGCCGAAACACGAGGAAGATGCATGCGGCGACCGTGCAGATATACCATGCCACCTAATCCGCGAAATCGGAGCACCACAGGTTAGCAAAAGGCGAGAAATATCACTTTGTTTCAGGAATTGAGAGTAGGAGCTCATACCACTTGGCCAAAGTCCGGACGAGCCATGGCGATGGACGTGCGATAATTCGGACGCTCACGACAACAGCAGAGACGTGCGAGGACGAAGGGGCATATTTTGGATCTTATCTGGGGGGCATTCTTGCTAACCCAGGATTAATAACTATCGGACCAGGGGAAAAAGGTCCTTGTTGTGAGGCAAAATTTCTCGGCCATTCGGTGGTGGTTGCTGTTCGTCGCTGAAGAAGTTTAAGTTTAGCTCAACCAGAACCAGGGCATCGCAACCCAAACTGTGAGGGAGGCATGGAACTGTTCTGTCTTGCATTTGGTCCGCCAGTCATTCTCAGCGATGTGCCTAGGTTCCTGGCAATGGGGCCCGTCTAAGACATTCCAGATAAATTCCTGGGTTCCAATACAAATAAGTTCGATAGTGGTTCCGCAATGATCCACCGGATCAATGCTGATTGCGGCGCTGGGTGAACTTCGGCGGATCATGTCCCCGCAATTTAGGGTTGTCCTCGGCCATCGTCCGCGTCGCACCGCGCAGCCCAGTAGTGGTGTTCCTGCAGGCCTGCAGGAGATCGTCCAGCGCGAGTCACGATCCGTTCAGGGCCAGGGACGGGGAGGAACACTATCGATCCAGTCCCAACGCCAACAAGCACGTTCCAAGTTTCTGGAAGACAGCAGTAGCAGTGAAAGGAAACGGATTCAGCCGACAGCCAGCTGGTACCCGAGCATTGCAGCCTACCAACTGATGGCGCAAGCCTGGAGCCAGCCAAGGTCGGAGGCATTCTAAAACGAGCTAGTGCCGCATTCACATTAGGTCATACAATGAAATCGAAAAGTCTTAACACACACACGGAAATGAATTCATTAGATGAAATTAAGTCTCGTAAAATGAAATTGGTTTACAGAAAAGTGCACGCCCCACGGCGGCGTAGCTAGTCACGTCGTCACGTCGTCTCCATCCTCTATGAATCCAGCAGCACCGGGTTCTGCACCACCGGATACTTGGGGAAGTTAGGCTTGTATACGGCCTGGCAGCGTCCGTTGTAGGCGCCGGTAGTGCTCATCTCGATCGCCAGCTCGTTGCCCGGAACTCCCAGGCGAGCCAGAGGACCGTTGACGGGTTGAGCTTGGTCCCATCCGGGGCCGGCGCTGGGCTCCTTGATCCAGGCCACAAACCAGTCGTTCATGTAGTCCGCCAGCTCCTGTTCGGCGGTGGTAACGTCGCTCAACTTGGAGAAGCACTCATTACCACCGTGGAAGAAGGGCACCTCACTGCCATGGGAGGGGCCAATGCCGGCGACGCCAAGCACGTTCGAGTAGTTACCAAACCAGCGGTAGATCCAGGTGGGCTGCTCACTCGAGCGCACGTCGACAAGGTAGTCGGTTGAGCAGAGGAAACGGGCATCACCGTAGCAGGCGCCGCTCTCAAAGGAGACGGACGAGTAATCAGAGCTGTTGTACGCATCCAAGAGCTCCTCGGACGGCACCCAGGCGACATCCGCGTCGAAGGTGTGGATCCAATCGGTGAAGTTGGTGTTTTCAGAGGCATAGGCATAGGCAAACAGACGGCCCTCCTGGTCAGAGTTACCAACCATAAGAGGCAGAGACTTGGGGTAGTGGCCTTGAGCAAAACGGTCGGTGTAGTTGGAGAAGCGAGTGATGTTGTCGACAATGGGGGAGAACCAGGTGTTGGAAGTGGAATTGAAGTAGGTGGTCTGGAAGGCGTAGGTATCAACCTCGCGCAGACAGTCCAGCGTGTAGTTGCTGGCATCACAGCCGAGCGTCACGTTGGCCGCCAACATGTCCTCAACGACCTGAGTCAGAGCCACGCCGGCCGGGGCATAGGCCGGACCGGACTCAGCGTTGGCCGACATCTCCACGGCGCCAGCCAGGAAAGTCTCCGGGTGATTCCAGAGGTAATGGTCGACATGGACACCGCCAGAGGAGTGACCACCCAGCACGATGTTCGACTTGTTTCCTCCAAAAGCTACGCCGTCGGTTAGTAACAGTGACTCATTAACAGTGGAACTGGAAAGCATACCTTCGATGTTATCATAAACCCACTGCACGGCCAATTCCACATCCATAATGCCAAAGTTCTGCGACTGGCCCTCCAGTTCCGGGGCATTGGGCGAAGCGTAGATGCTCTCGCGGTAGTTGAAGTTGACATAGATGACGTCTTTGCGGGCGAAGTTGTAGCCCTGCCACTGGGCGTTACTGCTGCCACCAGTAACCATGGCTCCGCCATAGATGTAAACGAAGACGGGCAGATCACTACCGTTCAGCGGAGTCCAGATGTTCAGGCTGAGGCAGTCCTCGCTCTGGGCCGTGATGGCGGTGCCAGACATGACCTGAGCGCACGAGGGGCCATAGGTGGTAGCATTGAACTCGCCTTCGGCAAAGCACGACAGAGCCTTGGGGGCCTTCCAGCGGTTTTCACCAGCGGTCGTCTCGGCAAACGGGATGCCCAGGAAGACATTGGTGTCATTTTTCTCGAAGCCACGGACGAGACCCTGGGAGACGGTGACGGACGGGGCCGTGGCCTGGGCGGCACTGACCAGAGCCAGGGCGGTGGCGGTCAGGCCCAGAGCCTGGTCAGCAGTCTTGCGCATCAAGCCCATGATGGAGATTGGCAGAGAAGGAATTGAGGATGAGGCGTGCAAGAACAAGAGCCGGCATGGTGATGGCCACGCAGCAGGGGGTCCCTATTTAAACGGGTCGCGGGTGAAGAAGGGACAAGCCGCGCCCGGAAGGCGTGGAATTTGCTCCGAAGGCGAGATTCCATGGTTCTCCACCCGCGCCGCCGTTCCGCTAACTGGCACCACTCCACCAGGGCGAGACCAGATCTAGCTTGATTGGTACGGCGAGTCGATGGATGCGAGACGAGGCCAGTCAGAACCAGCCGATTCAGTGGAGGTTAGTCCATGGTGCCATTTCTGGATGCTGTGTATCGAATATTCTGTCGTCGGGGGGGGATCTCTTCCACGTGGTGGACAGAGCTTGGCGTGGGAGGCGCAAAATTATCGATTCTCGAGTCAGTCAGAGACTTCCGATCAGGCCACACTGCTGCCTAGATGCAATGGAGGGAAGAGCAGACCAGGAAAGATTGTGACTAATGGATATTGCTGGGGATGGGTCGTGCAGAGATACGAAGTATGTTTTGCTGGGGGGTTCAGAAGTCCCTAGAAGCAATGCCAGAGGAGTGGAGAAACAAGAGGTATCATTGGTGGTACTCGAGTCAAGAATGATGAAGTAGTACTATCGTTGAGGGGGAGAGTTGGAGGTGTTGAAGAAGCAGCAGAAGCTGATTGTGATGTAAGTTGGAAGGTGGAAGGTGGGATGAAGGAAGTCAGTACCAGTACCGGCTGGAATGGCCACACGTGATGGAGTTATTTACTTGGCCACGTGCTGCTGGCCACTGCTTTTTCCCTTTGCTCCTTCTTAATCTACTATCATGCTTACACGAGGATTCCATTTAGGGTGTTTACTGGGAGATATGCCGGCATACACCTTTCAGTCCGAGTCGATCCAGTCTTCGAGGTCTCCACCATGCAAGGAACCGGCTGTTGGTCCCATTGCCATGTGGTTCGGTTATCGACACTCGACATCCACAAACATCCACCCCAATAAGGTTTTAGTAAAACCATGATGTTGACAAATACTTCCAAAGGATTATCTATTCGTTCGTCTACCGGCCTGCCCGCCATGAACTAGAGGGTAAACAGAGTCAAAAAAATAAAAAAAAAAGGGAGAGAGGGTCCTCTCAACCTCGCGGAGTTTACCCAATTCGGTATTCGCCGAAAACCATGCAGCGAGACGAGGTCAGCCACACTATTATTATACTTCATGGCAAATCTGCGAACGATGGAAGAGGCAGCCATCACGACGTGATATATCGGAGATTGGAGATTGAAAGCTTTACACGATCCTGCTAGATCAGAAGTAGACGTCATTCCCGACCCTAGCGGGATTCAGCTGTTTTTCGCGACCTGCACAAGGGATTACCCTTTTGTGGGACTTTTACATCCCATCGACCTGGTTCTGGAACCAAAGAAAGCTTTGACATGATCCAGTCGCTCTACAAATCCTGAATACCAAAAGAAGAGGGGCCAACAACATTCGCGGAAGGCAATCTCAACCTAGCCCACGAGGCTCACCGAGATGTTACCACTCATGACAGCCATGAACATGATCTCTAAGAGAAAGAAAAAGAAGGGGCCCACCCCGATATAGGAATTGTTCAGCATATTAGATTTACAGCGGTTATTAACGGGTTACTTCTGTAAGCGATTACCTGTCATACGAACCGAACAGCCGGCCACTGTATGGTTCACAGTCCTTGATTTGGTCCGCCCTCTGGTGAGCACGGCGTCTCTCAGGAGTAATTGACGGTGACCAAAAAGAACTGCAACTGACGGAAGGAAATGCCCTGGCAGCTGTAGTCAAGGCGCCATATAAGTTGTCTACCATTCAATAGGGCTCTTTCCTCGTTCGCCTTTTCACAAGGGGCACTGTGATATGGCATAGTATGCCCCAGGCAGCACATGTGCATTGCGCTCGCAAACCCAGCTAGAGTCTTCATTCTTGATTCCAATCGAGAATATTCAATCTGTCTTGCTGTTGCGAAATATCTGTCGCAAGAAAAGAAATCCCAAAACTACAGTTAATCGAAAAGATTCATGATATAGTTTGACGGTCAAGTAGAATTATTCTCCCAGTAGTCCTTGTCAGAGGCTATGATGGGAGTACCGGGGAAAAGTGTCGCATCCAAGTGGGTATTCAAGGGCTCGGACTTGGAAGCCTATCAGTTAATAATGCTTTCTTAGGCTGATTAGAATGTAAATATTAATCCGACATAGCATCAAAGGGCTTTTCACAGCCACGGGAACAGTACTAGACTTTCGGAGATCTGCTTCGCTTCAGCGTGGCTCGCCACACGCCAAACAACCATTTGAAAGGACACAAGACATGGCATGAAAATCTCAAGTAGGCTCATTGTACTCGTGTAAGTGTTCTAAAATTCACTCCCGAACTCATAAAATAATATAAGGTGGAGACGGAAACAGCATGAGAGTGAAAAAGTTAATGTCGAACAGCTTGCTTGGAGAGCTTGTATAACAGCCACTCCAAGCTCAATCGGACATGCCGTTCAGTGTACGATGTTGCAAGATGTGAAGCATCAGAGCATTCTCAAAATCAAATACCAAAGCCGGAGAACCTTGAGGCTGAAATCATCGATAATCACCACGGCTACTCTAGCCTATCTGGACTGGGTGGCTTAAAAAAGCGAGGCCAAAGAAGGAAAACCACCAGACGTGGACGAGCCTAGGCCACTTAGGCCACTCAGTCCATCCAGTCCTGTTGCTGAGGATGACTCCGAAGAGGAATCACCGGTCGAGGTGCTCGAAGAGGTATCAGATGAAGAGGAACCAGTCAGCGACGAAGTGGTGGTGTCGCTGAGCTTCGATTCCAGCCACTGAGAAGCTTCACCCGTGTTCATGACATAGGTGAAATGTGCGGCGGTGACAATGAGAGTACCATCGCAGACAAGATCACCCATGGCACAGTAGATCTTGACCTTGTCTTTGGGGAAGTTGCCAATTTGACCTCCCTCCTGAGCATTGCGGGTGTAACCGAACAGCACAACGCCCTTGATTTTGTCCTTGACGTCGTCAGAAAGCTGCTTGATGGAGTCGTCCATCACGGCTGTCCCTTGACTGTATGGAAGTAAGCAGGTGTATAGAGAAGCGTCAGAGGGTATTAAAGAGCTACTAACCTATAGCCACCAGCCAGGATCTGGCTGGTAGGGCACTTCGAAGCAGCCAGCTTGAAAAGACTCTCCGCCTCGCTGATGGCAGCCGGCGAAGTGTTGTCAGGGAGTGCATTCGACATGAGATCAGCCGTATATGCAGGCCCCACGCCCTGGCAGAGGACCTGGCCAGCTTTGGCCATCTTGAGATCGTTGCACACAGCAGGACCAGTGGAGATACCCTAGGATTCTCGTCAGTATTTCGAGTGTTTAATCATGTGAAAAGACAATTTTACTTACGAGCAGGCCAGGCTCAGTAGATGCTCGGGCAAAGATGAAAATAATGGGCTTGCAAGAACCCTCGCGCAGTTCATTGCCATCGGAAACTAAACAATTAGCCGGGATCGCTCAGAGCAAAGGATGATGGTGTATGCTTACGTTGACGTTCAGCAAGCCCCATGGGACTCGCAGCAGCAAGACCTGCCAGCCCGAGCAGAGCCGATAAAAGCTTCATTGTGATGTTCACTTGGTGCTATGAGAACAAAGGTTCACTGCTCCATGCCGCCGCCTGGGCAGCAGGGCTGGAATTTATTCTTCAGGTCTGTCTAACCCGCCCGGCACATCACATGGCGAATCCATTAGTATGCCGATGCCCAGAGAAATAGGCTGGTTTCATTGTTTCAGGCAGAAGAATTGATATAGAGTATCTAGAGGCCAGGGCAAAGGGACCGACCAATTTTTGCAAACCACGGGCCAAGGAAGGGGACCGAACCGTGGGCTGAGGATTGGCATAATGGCATGCCGAGGACCCTGAATTAGGGGTCCTGGTGCCGGCGCACCAACGGCGTGTTTCACATCCCGACCATGTTTTTGGGTCGCCAACTCAAAAGATCCTGACTTCGAGGTTAGTTTCACCGTGTTGTCTTCGAGAAAGCTCGACAGGTACGATTGCCAAGCAATTAATGCATGGTTTTCTCGACGATAAGTGGTTTCAAGTAAACAATGTCCCTCGGACCCAAAAATCAGCCACGGTCGATCAACCGGGTGATCCGACCACGCCCTCGTCTCGGTGGACGGTTCAGGGTCGCAGAACATGGAGAAATGCGAGCCTAATGCTATTAACGTTTCGTTCGCATAATAAACTTTGACATTCAGGGACGGGTAAACAATGTTTAGCAAAACTCTTGCGCTGATGTCATTTGCATGAGGTCGTTCCATGGTCGATTTTGACGGTGAAGAGTCCAGCTGTGACTACCATCACCATGGTGCTATTGTTTGATCTTATCACCCCCTGTCGGAGCCTCCCGACACTGCAAACCCTTCCAAGAGTCAACGTCGAACTTATTTCGATACCATAATGATGCTTCGCATCAATTCGCGCATATTTGTGTAGCAGACAGAAACCTCGTTTAGCCGAGGTCCGGCCGAGCCAAAAGAAAGTCTGGCACCGGGTAGATATTAGTAAGTATTGCAATAGTACAGTAGACGCGTCTTCGTTATGTTCTCAACGGGAATGGTATACATGAGTAATTGGTACTGGGGCTTCTAAGTCCAAGTCCATTAGTTGATCTGAAAATTGCCGATAAAGTGCTAGGGAACAATGCCGAAAAAAAAAAAAAAAAGAAAGAAAGAAAAAGAATATAATTCGTGTGCCGCGAAACGCTTTATCGCATGCAAGATCAAATTGGGTTCGCAACAACTGATCACTGAATGGCATACTAATATATAGTCTAACACATGCGAGCATCAATACTTCAGGATACAATCAGAGTCAGTCAAGTCCGGCACTCCTTCTCTATACCTCCTCCACCTCAGTCGCATGAGCTTCCTTTTTCTCCTCGAGGACATAGTCACCTGGCACTCCGGGGATGTCATAAGCTGCAAAAAGACGAATTAGTCACGTTGTTGCCTAACAATAAGCAAGGGAGAATATTTGTCATACATTTGAAGCTGCGGGCGGATACACCATTCTTGAAGAGGATTTGTATCTCTTCCAACGTGCGTCCGGACGTCTCCGGAAGCAAGAAAAATATCCAAACCGTAGCCGCGACCATCAGGCTACCGTAGATGAAGCCGACTCGGGCGCTTAAATTGGCAGCATCGCTGTCGAAGAGATATGGGAAGGTAAACGTCACCATCCAGCTGCAAAACCAATTGACCGCCGTCGACGTAGCCATCAACTTGCTGCGGTTCGGTCCGGCTGCAATCTCCGAGGTAACGACCCAAACGGCGGGGCCCAGAGAAAGATTATACACTATCATGTAGATGTATACCATGACGACGATCAATCGGTCGAGAGTCATAGTCTTATGGGACGCTGTTCCGGCCCCGCCGACAATCAAAAGCACAATGGCAACAAGAACGCACGAGAGCAGGAGCATAGGGCGACGGCCAAAGCGCTCGACGCAGTATTGGTTCAGCCATACCGCGGGCATGGGGACCAGATACAAGCCCATTTGGATCAGGAATGAATTGGTCATTCCAATAGCCGAGAAGAACACAATTCCGTAGCTGGTGATGAAATTGATTCCAGACGCTTGTTGCCATGCTGATAGAGAGAAGACATTTAGTATCGGAAAACAATAGAAGGAAAACGGCTTTCCATCTTACCTTGTAGTGCCATGCCCAAGTATGCTTTGCGACCGTCCTGATGCCAGTGTAGTAGCTCCCTCCACGAACCTTCAGCGCGACGTTCTTCTTCGAGTGTCCCGGATATATATAAAACTTCGCTCTCGATCACGTCGGGTCGGTTACCGTGCAAGCGACGGAGAGCTGCACGGGCTTGCTCCGTCTTCCCCTTCTTCAAGAGCCAGCGAGGTGATTCAGGGGCAAACAAGATGAGCCCCGGGACCAAAATGACTGGGAAGACCAGCTGAACCGCCATGGGGATCCGATAAGCGCCGCTATCGTTCCGATTCTTGGTCGCATTGTCCACGATGACACCCAGAAGCAGTCCAAGACCAACATCGAATTGGTAGAGAGAAACCAGAGCCCCACGGAACCGGGCCGGGGCACAGTCAGCGACATATAGAGGAACCAAGCACGAAATCAGACCCACGGCATACCCTACGCATCGGTTAGTAACAGTTGTAACATATCGGCGACCGTGGCAGCGGTGGTACAGCATCGGTCAATAAATACCGACCTAGGAGTAGCCGCCCAACAATTAACAGTGCAAGATTGTCGGCAGCGACCTGGAAGATCACTCCCAAGACAACGAATGTGCTAGAAACAAACAAGCCCCCTCGGCGACCGATTCTGTCATCGACAAGGTATGAGGATACGGCTCCGACGAGCTCACCGACATTGATGATACTGGTGGTGAGAGACTGAATACTGGAGCTGAGAACATAGCCGCCGGTTGCATTGTCATAATGTCCATAGGCTTTGATGAAGGGCTCCATTACCAGTATACCTATAGGGATGTGTATTAGTGTACTGTATTCAAAGCAGGTCCGCCAGTATTATGGTCTTCAGCGGGTCGCTGGTCAGCAGAAGGGTGAAAGCTGTAGACGCACCAGAGTAATAGGATGAGTCGAAGCCAAATTGAAAGGCTGCGATGGTGATGAACAGGCAGATTGCAATGGCACGCCAGTCAGCTCGGGCAGCAGCTGCGGCCGACATTGGAGCCGTCATAATGAAGAGAGGTTTTCGAAAACCAGACAGATAACCGACTTGAAAGCACAAGGAGAGAGCAAGACATTGTGCAGTGGGCGGTGTCAGGATGTGCTTCTTATATTGAGGCAACTTGGGGATGAGTTTATCCTGTCCACCCCAGATTTTTCTCGTCCCCAAAGCCGGGGTTGCGGAGAAGCCCTGTCAGCCGACCGAATGAACGAGATCCCAGCCGTAAAGAAGGAAATTGGCCGAATGCCAGCAGCGTAATTCACCGACTAGAGTTCACCGGCGCGGTCCGAACAGCGATGCTGATTGGGTATGGGACAGATTAGCTTGGGATGCGGACGGCCGCGAACAGCAAACGGAAACAAGGGGGATCCACCCTAGGGATGCAACTCCACGATGGTCGAGCCCGACAGGTATAAATCATTAGCCGCGCCGACCATGTTTCTCGGGATCGCAAACACCTGTTCATTCCTATTCCCTGCTTTACACAGACATTATGGCTGCTGCAGTGCGTCAGCTTCGGGTGCCCGAGGATCCTGACCAGGCTCCCGCCTCGTCCAGCGACCCAGTAGTCGTCATTGTCCCAACGCAAACCTCGCCCTCATATCCTCAGCGGGTGATCGGTCGAAAATCACCCATCTCAGGAATCGAGGAGTTTCGAGGGATCCCGTATGGGACTGTGCCGGCGAGATGGCAGCATGCATTGCTCCGTGATCGCTTACCCCGGGATGAATTTGATGCAACACGAAACGGGTAGGTCGACATGTTGCTTCGGAGTGAGCAGGACTATAGCCCGCTAACTTTAATACCTGTGCGTCAGTCCTCGTTGCCCTCAGCCGCAGGAACCTAACAACACCGACGAGTTTCAATCTCATCTCGAGTTCCCGGCCGACGTTACGGAGTCGGAGTTCGACTGTCTCAATCTGTTCGTAACAAGACCCAGTGCTGCGACCCTTGCTGCAGCCGGTTTCGATGCGCAGGAAGTGAAACTGCCAGTATACGTGTATATCCATGGAGGAGCATATAGCTTCGGTGCAGGAACAGACCCGATGTGGGGTAAGTTCCTAGCTTCAGGATCAGGTGTAATCACCCACAGTACCACTGACTGCCTAATAGATCCGGCTCGCCTCGTTAAGAAATCGGTTGAGCTAGGCACTCCCATGATTGTGGCCACCATCAACTACCGCCTCAACATGTTTGGTTTCGCGGCTTCATCCGAGATAATTCAAGCCCAACCGGAAGGTCAGAGGAAAGGGTGCAATTTCGGACTGAGCGATCAGCGAACCGCTATTCGCTGGGTGCGTCAGAACATTGGTGCTTTCGGCGGTGATGCCACCCAGGTCACCGTTGGAGGTCAATCAGCGGGTGGAAGCTCGTCGCATGCCCACGTCCTGGAGGCTATTCTTGGCAGAGGCGAGCCCTTGGTTCAGCGAGGAATTATTCAATCGGGAACTGTTGGTGTGCTCGGTCCCATTTCGATGGACGTCTCCAACGTGCGCTGGAGTGCTTTCTGTCAGCATGCAGGAGCTCCCGCAGGCGATGCTATTTCGCGAATGGCTTTCATGGCAAACCTTCCGCCCGCGGAGATCCTGCAAGCGGCTGGCAAGTTGGGTTCCATTGTCTGTCCCTTAGTGGAAGATGGTCTTACAATTTCAAAAAGGCCAAATGGTCGCTGGAAGGTTCACCTGGATGGCCCTGAGAGTGAATCTGTTACGGAAATACCGGCCTCTCGTACCGAGGTAATTCCGGTTCTAATCGGTGATACCGATGTCGAGGTTAGTCAGCCCATTGTACGGGGCCAACATCATATGCTGACAAAGAACAGGGTCTTTTACATATGAACGAGGTAAATGAAATCAAAAATTATGAGCATCTGAGCGAAAAACTATA